TTTTTTTGTTTGATGAAGAAAAAAAAAAAGATTTTTAATTTGAACGATTTGATTAAAAATTTATTTAAACAGAGGGAATTTAGGGTACATGATTGAATCCAGTTAAAAGATTAGTAAGTTATGACTCTAGGTATGTTTGGTGTGTTTTCCTCTCTTTTCTCCCGTTTTCATTATGTGATTTGACTGTTATTTTAGTCCTTGTGCTTTCTTTTAAGGGGTAAAAATTCAATCATGTGAGAAATCAAAAAAAAAAAGTATTTAAATATGGGATAATCGGCTCATATATACACTTGAACATTAAGATATATGGTTTCAACTATGTTTAATGTGATAATCTATTACTTTTCAAATGAATGGTTATTTTTTGTTTCTAATTATAGATCATCTTGAAAGGATTCAAGAATTTTATTAGGGTATGGAAAAAAAAAGACAAGATATCAACAATGTTTTACATAATCATTCAATAGACAAAGAATATTAGTATTACTTCAATAACAAGAAAATAAATAGCAGTTTTAAATCTTTTCTTTACTTTACTATTGTTTGGTGCTGGGTTATTGAAAAGACAATCAAGATTTCGGTGATTATCTCCTAGGCAACCAATTTAATTTTTATTTATAGTTGATTGATAAAGAAATTTAAATGAGAATACATTACGATATGATTTGAAAGAGATCTTTTATTCATGTTGTAATGCTTTTGATGAAAATTTTGAAATACGCTTAGCTTCAAATATATCAGTTGATGTATTAATCAATTTGGTTAGTCACCTTTTACAATTCCGAGACCCGACCGTTGAATCAGCACTCCAGTAATATAGAACAATAAATATAGATAAGAATGTAGAGTTCATCATTTAATCCCTGTGTAGCAATAGATTTATTGACCTTTCAAACTCTTTGTATCACCTTTGATCAACAAAGTATATTTAAATTTTCACGTCCAATGCTTAGGGTTCTTTATACCTCAAAGATTATTCGATCAAAATTGTGCGTGATCGAGAATGCGAAAGTGGACAATTAAAATATAATTACTAGATAGCTTAAGAAGAACGCCAACTTTTGATGAATCAATACAACATAATGTAATATGACCTCAATAATAAAGCTATCACCATTAAAACATCATAAAACTACACTCATAAAACTCTTTTAAACCCATTTCTCATATACAAAACAAATTAAGTGAAAACCGAAAAATGGAAAATTGCGTGTGCTTAACAGAAAAAAGCTGAAAATCTCAACTTTCAAATCAATTTTGTGTACGTTTTACTTGGAAACCAAAGCGTTGAACAGACCGGGAACAGACAACTAGAAAAAGTGTTTACACAACGAGCACTTGTTCAATAGCGTCTTTCTTTTCATCACTAAATTGAACTCAGGGTACACAGACTACCTCCTATATCAAAGAGTTTGAAAGACAAAGACAGATTGAACACTTCAGTTACAAAATTGTTACCACAGTCTTTTTCAATAACTACTGTTTCAAAGGAATCTTTAGAATCCCTGAATTTCAATTCCAATTATATTACTCAAAAAGTATTCCATCTTCATTTCATTCAAGAACAACCGCTGGGATTAATTAGCCGCTGTTACTTTTTGTTACCACCAAGTTTGTCGTTTTTGTGTCGTTGTTTTGGTTAAATTAGTTTTGATCAGGGCTACACCAAACACTTTAATTTTTTTTATTGGAAAGCGCTAAACAATCAGCTTCTTTTTTCCTTTCAAAGGTTGACAAAACAACAACAACTGCTACTAGTTTGGTTTCAATCTTCAAGCAAGTGATACCATCATCTCTGATAAGGGATTTATCTTTATTTAGATCAGGTTGGAAAGTTTCTCTTTACCCGCTGTGTGTTTTTTTTCCTTTCTGGTATTTGAGATTTGGATTCATATAATTACAATTACAAAAGAGAAACATTTGAACATCAATTTGATTTGATTTTGAAATTCCCAATTCATACCCAACTCATCACATCATTTACCAGATCAATAACACCAATAAAATCTTATCAAAAATGAGTAATGAAACTCAAAGGGATATAGCCGCTCGTTCTGAAGTGCAAAATGAAAATATTGAACCTCAACAACATCAACTTCATCATCATCAACACCCAGATCAAGATCATCAATCAAATAGAAATAATCAACATCATCTTCAATACGCCAAAAATGATCAACAAGCTGGAATTCCAGGTCCAATGAACCATATGGGATCTCAATATGGACAAGTACCTGTCATGGTTTCAAGTTATCCTTCAGGAACTGCACTTCAACAATTTCAATTCCAACAACAAGCTGCTTATGCTCAAGCCATGCAAAATCAATATTATCAACAACCACCACCACATCATTCTCAACAACCTCAAATGGGGATACCTCCTCAATTACAACAAAGTCCACTACCGAATGGTCATATGCCTCAAATGCAACCTTTACCTGAACTTAATCCAATGGCTCCACAATATCATACTCCACAAAGACCAATGGGTGCTCCAGCTTTACCTCATCATCCAGGTGTTTTAATGCAAAAACATGGAATTACACCACTGGGGAGTCCAGAAACTCAACGTAAAAAGCAAAAAAGAACAAATATCAATGGTGAAGATTCTGAATTAAAAGCATTGGCTTATAGATCTTTAGATAATTCTTTAGAAGAAGTTGCTGCACAAGTTAGAGCTGTGGAACTGGATAATACATCGGGAACTTCAACACCTGTGGCAAATGATACTAAAACTCAATATAAAAAAGATACTGCAAAAGAAAGACAAAGACAAATTTTCGGTATGGTCTGGTTATTAAAATCTTGTGAAGCTAAAAGTTCGGCTGTTGTTCCACGTAATAGAGTTTATGCTCGTTATGTTAGTATTTGTGCTGATAATGGTTTAAAACCACTTTCTCCAGCTTCTTTTGGTAAATTAGTTCGTGCAATTTTTCCAAATTTATCAACTCGTCGTTTAGGTATGAGAGGTCAATCAAAATATCATTATTGTGGTATTAAACTTATAGGAGAAAATTCAAATCCTTCTCCAGGAGTTTCAAGTTCAAGTACACCTTTACATAATTCTGCTTATGATTCATCATTTTTACCTGGTACACCTTTTGATACTGGAAGTCCAAATTCTTTAACTTCAACACCTTTGTTATCAGCAGCAACAACTGCTACAACTGCTGCTACAACAACAACAAATAATTCAGGTACAATAAATTCATTTTTGAACAATCATATTGCACCTGAATTGAAATTTGTTCCAAATTTAATTGAATCTTTAAGTAATCAGGTTCCAGACTCTGATAAACCACTTTTATTACCTCAAATAAGGCCTTTTTTACCACCATCAACAGATATGGATATTGCAGATACTCTTTATGGTTTATATAAATCACATTGTACTTCAGTTTTTGAATCTTTGAGATATATGCAATTGAAGAAATTATTTTCATTACTTTCATCATTTCATGGGTCATTAACTTCACCTGTTTTAAAACTTTATGTTTCACCGAGTCTGCATAACTGGATTATTGCATCAGATTCCATAATGTATAAAGAAATCATTAAAATGCTTGCAAATTTAGCATTACAAGATATTCCAACTCATGTTTTACAACAATTAAAACAAGTTGCTGAAAATTTTACTGAAAAATCTTCAACTTCTTTACAAAATTTACCAGTTAAATTAGCTGTTGCTAAACTGAAACTGTCAAAAGAATTTTCACAACTTGTTTCAAAATTGATTAGAGTTGCAGAAACTGCTCAATCTGCAAATAAAGTTTTATCTCATGATTTTGATAGAGAATTAATGGAAAAAGATTGGACAAAATTTGTTGATGTTGAACAAATTGCTTCAAAAGAATTACCATGTAATGGTGAAAATTTAAAACAAGCAATTGAAGTTTTAAAAAATAAATTACCAGAACTTTTGAATATTGAAACAGAATCTAGAGATACAATAATTAATGAATGGGCTTTATTCATTTCAGAATTACCACATAAATTTATTGATGTTCCACCACGTTTATTTTTACTTTGTGTTTCCACAATATTAACAAGTGCATTAAGAGAAATTTCGTTAGCTGGTGGTGCAGGGTTTGGTGCTTGGTGGGTTGTTAGATGTTGGATTGATGAATGGGTTGGTTGGTGTGCGGAACTTGGAGGTTTTATTTCAACTCAATCATTTGATGTTCCAATTGAAAGAAAAGATGAATCTTTACAAAACGGTAATAAAGTAAATGAAGAAATGCCAGTTGATTTATTAGATGGCCAATTTGGTATTAAAAAAACTAATGAAAATGGTGGTAATGATAACAATGGAATCAATCAGCATGAGGATACTAATCAAATTGATACTGATAAAGCAGAAACTAATAATGTTGACACAAATCATGTTGAATCCAATGATGATGAATCCAATCAAATTGTTGATACCAATCAAATTGTTGATGGTGAAATTCCTAAGATTGAAAACACTGCAGAAACAAACTAATAGATCATAATAAAGAAGGCAAAAACGGTATTTTACATTCATTTGATAACGATTGAAGAGTTAAAGATTGGCTTTATTTTTATTTTTTGGCAGACATACTATTAGTTACTATTAGTTATTAATAAAGAGGATCAATGGTCAACAACATTAACAAATTCATCATAAAAAAACCAAAAAATAATCAAAAATAAAAAGCAGAAAAAAAAAGAAAGCTATTATGCCATATAAAAAATACCACATAAGAAGTAGAAACATTGTATTATTAAGTTAGATTTCCAAAAGTTTCATATATATATATATATACAGGTGATTCATTCATTGACTATTTACAACATGAATTTTGGATGAGAATGATCTTGTTTTTGATTTTAAACATTTATATTTTTTAGTTCTATTATTCCCCAAAAAAAAAATTACAGTTATATATCAATTGAGTGCATATTTTTGATTTATCATCCATTGAAAGATGATTATTTTGTGTTTTGTTTTGTATGCAATTACATATTTGTTCAAAGAATCTGACAACATTTTTATAAATGGTCAATTTAAATATATTTAATAAAATGATAAGCTTATTATACTAATTTAGAAACTTTTCGGTAGAGACAACATTTACCGTTTTGAAAAAATTTGTATATTTGATGATGATGATGAGACAAAATGATTTAACAAGATTTATATGATCTAAGCGTGAATAAGTTGTATCTATCGATCATGTCCACTTCTGAAGTCATATATAACGAAGAAGATTTGAGGAAACTCATCACTTCATTCCGTGAAAGTTTAGAATTATACCTTAAAGCTTTAAGTTCCAAAGAATCTATTGATAAAATTGAATCATCAAATGTTGAAGATCCTTCAAAAGAAATAATCAAAATTAGTGATTTATTATTTGCACATGCTACAAAATTAGGTATAGTTTTCAAACCAAAAGTTTCTTTTAATGCAGCATATAAACAATTAAGTGAAACTTCATCATTATTTTTATTTTTATTAAGTTTAATACCACAAATTGATCCAAATAAATATAGTTTAATCTTTACAAATGAATTAATTGATCAAATTAAAAAAATTATATCATCACAAATTAATTTCTTGAATGAAGTTGATGTTTTAGATTTTAATACCCCATTAGAAGAAACTGAATTTGGTGAAAAAACTGAAGGTAGATTATTATCAGTTGGTGTTATTTGGGATAATTGTAAAGCATTGAAATCATTAATACAAGGTGGGAAATTAAAATTATTAGAAAATAGATTAAAAGGTTCAATTGGACTTGTTGATGATGCTATTGAAGAATTTACTGAATGGTTAGAAAATCCTTCAATTATAGATGATGAAGATCCTTTTGGATTAGGTGATGATTTTACAGATGAAGAAGATGAAGATGAAGAAACAAATAAAGAAGTATTAAAAGATATAGATCCTCAAATTATAGAATTTGGTGAAGTTTGGAATACAAAGATTAAAATGATTAGATTATTAATATCATCATTAAATAAATCACTACCGTCAAATGATGAATTAATAACTGGTAAAGAAGCTGATGAATTTAATAAACAACAAAATGGATTAATTGAACAAATTGATGATTTATTTTCCACAATTTATATAAATGGTTCATTATTTGAAATCAAAAAAATTGGTAAAAATATTGAAAAACAATGTTTAGAAATTATTAAATTTGTGGAAAATTTAAATAAAAATGATGAAAAAAAAACTAAATGGTTAAATATTTGGAAAGAAAAATTCTTACAATAAATTTATAAATAGATAAATGAATGAATATAATAAAACATCTTGCATGTAAATTAAAACAACAAAAAACAGTTCTTAATATGATACACAATATAAGCTGTAGAATTTTATGAAATTTTTATTACCATTCTTCACCATCACTTTCATCATCACTTTTAGAAACTTTTTGCTTTCTATTATTCAAAGCAGCAGCTAAAGCATCAGCCAAAGAACCACCACCTGCAGCACCGGCACCAGCTCCCATAGCAGCAGAATTTGAATTTGAAGATGGAACTTCACCTCTACTTTCTTGTAATATAACTGAAGGTTTATCTAATTGTGATTTATCAGTCTTCTTTAAAGCACCAATACCTCCAGCACCTCTAATTGAAGCTAATAAAGCATCACGTCCACCATCTGGTTGTGGTAATGGTGGTGCAGGAGTTGATGATGTAGGTTGATTTCCTCCTTGTGGTAATGGAGGTGGAGGTGGTGCACTTGATCCTTGTGATGGTAATGGAGGTGGAGGAGGTGGTCCACCTGTTGATTGTGGTTGTGATTGAGTTGGGAATGGAGGAGGTGGTGGTGGTGGGCCTCCAGTTGTAGTTGGAGGTAATGGTGGTGGTGGAGGAGGAGCTGAATTTGTTTGATGAGGTGGTAATGCTGGAGGTTGGGGTGGTTGTTGATATGATTGTTGATATGATTGTTGTTGCTGTTGTTGTTGCTGAGGTGGTAAACTTGGTGGTTGTGGAGGTAATTGAGGTGAAGCTTGAGGTTGAGTTCTTTGAGGAACCAATGGAGCTGGACCTCTTCTTGGAGGAGGTGCAGGTGGTGGAGCACCAGTTGATCTTGACGGAGGTGCAGGTGGCACTGGGCCTCTTCTTGGAGGTGGTGCAGGAGGTGGTGCTCTACCTGAAGTTTGTTGAGGTTGTAATGGTTGAGGTGGAAGTTGAGGTGATTGACCAAATCTTTGAGGTGGGACTGGTGGTGATGGAGATGATATACCTGCACGAGGAGGAGCTGGAGGTGGAGGACCACGAGATCCAACTGGTGGTGGTGGTGTAGGACGTTGTCCAGTAGGTAATGGAGGTGTTGGACGTTGACCTGTTGGTAATGGAGGTGTTGGTCTACCAGCTTGTGGAGGTAATGGAGGAAGATTTTGTTGTTGTGGTTGTGAAGCTGGAGGAGGTTGATTATATTGGAATGATGAAGTAGCTGGTGGAGGTGGAGGTGGGACGTTATGTACTTGATTTGAAGGTTGCAATGGAGGTGGAACTCTATGAACAGGTCTATTTGGTTCTGGACTTGATTCTTGAGGAGCCTGTGGAGCTGGAGAAGGTGCACTTGGAACAGGATTTGGTGGTGCAGCATGAGATGAAACAACACTTGTTGATCTTGAACGAGCCATTGGAGAATCAGGACCAGGTGAAGGTGTATGAGAAATTGAAGAGCCAGAAGGTGGTGGTGGAGGTGGTGCTTTTTTCTTTCTAATTGAACCAGAAGTTGTATTATTTGAAGATTGAGAGACATTTCTTTGATTTTGATTTTGATTTTGATATTTTCTTGGAATTGGAGGTTCTAAACCAACTAATGGACCACCTTGTTTATTTATATAATCTTTAATAAATTCTTTATTATCAGCAATCATATCTTCAGTTATTCCAGCACTTTCTAATTCAGCATATAAAGATCTCCATTCTGGAGGTGGTTTATCATCATAATATTGTACATGAGTTGTTCTTCTAATTCTTTGTTCACCTCCAGAACTCATATATTCACCTCTTGGACCGGGAGCTCTTGGAGCTTCAGGTTTTTTCTGTAAAGCAATTGCATTTTTATTTTGAACAGTTTTCTTTGAACCATGTTTTTCTCTTGTATGAACTTTTTTCAAAAAATGTGAAGCATCATTTGTATCATCAAATAATAAACCAGCAAGACAATCTTCAATTTCAAAAGTATGGAAAAATGAACGATCTTGATTATATTGGAAATCCAAATATAATTCTTGATCCCATATAACACCTCTATGACCTTGAATATCAACTAATTTTAAGAAAAAAGTATGACCAACAAGATCATCAACTAATATAACTGCACCTGAAAGACCAGTATATGTCCATTCATTTGAATTTGGATATGCTATGTATAATCTTGCAACAGCAGCATCAATGACCTTATTGGAACCTTTGGGAACCACTCTTTTCACTTTCTCCTTATCAGTGGAGATCAAAGCCATTGTCACTTAACTTTCCTGTGTAATTGATTAAAGATCTTTTGTTTTGTTGATGTTTAAAAGTGTCAAAAACAGTGTTTGATGTTAACAATTCTATAAAAGGAGTGGACAATTTCAAAACCCAAATCGGTTCGGGGACGCAGCATATAACTAGAAATCTACAAATTCTTTTAAGGAAACAGTCAATTCTAATAAATAAACCATTCTATTAAGCGTTAATTACTTATAAACATTAATATTTGTCATTATTTTAGCTTTCAAAGCTATTTTTCTCCATAAAAATTGATCAAAATTTGACCATATGTATATAATAATACATTTCACACATCATTTAATGCTACACAAACAGCACCTTTATGATGACCATTATATTGACGAACAGTTTCACTTGTGGAAAGATCCCATAGACGAACATAATGGTCCGAGCAAGCAGTCACCAAATAAGCAGAATCAGCACTGAAAGCACTATCCCAAACCCAACGTTGATGGCCTTGTAACGTGGTTTCTAATGAAAAATTATCCTCAACATTCCATATTCTGGCAGTATGATCAGCTGAACAAGTTGATAAATGTCTTACATCTGAACTTAATACCACTCTTGTTATATATTTGGAACGAGATCTAAATTTTGTCACTGGAGCTAAAGAAGTTGAATCTTTTTGATTTGTCATACTCCATACATAACAATTCCCTTTATTATTACCAGCAACAAGCATTGAGCCATCACTTGCCACAGAAACAGAATTCACAGGAACATCATCTTCTGGAATCAATTGATGAGTACATTGATTTTCACCTAAATCCCATATTCTAACGTTCCCATCTTGATCACAACTAATTAATTCCCCTTGATTGGGATGAATAACAACTTCATTAACAGGACAATTATGTTTATAGTTCCTCTGTACAGAAGGTGCACGTACGTCCCATACTTTCACAGTCCCATCTTCAGAAGATGAAACCATCCATTTGTTATCTGATTGGAATGCTATTGAAGTGACATTATTTGTATGGCCTTCAAACGACGTGACAGGATTAGGATTAGTGGTCCTTATATCATATAATCTCACATTCAAATGACCAGCAGCTGCTAAAAACCTCTTATCACTTGTGATCTCCAGCCTATTCACCTGTGAGTCTGCGTGTTGGATAGTTCTTGAACAGACACCAGTCAAAGCTTCCCAGAACCGTATAGTATGATCATATCCAGCAGAAGCTAAGATAACAGACATTTATAAATAATACTTGATATTTTGTGGATTGACTTGGTTCAAACTGGAACAACAATGGAAAACAATGGACAATGCAATACACAATGCAACAGACACTCAAACAATAACACTAATACACTAATAGCCTTATCTTCCACCAAATGTTCTCAATTGTATTGACTTCTCCCAATCGAAGATTCCAGAACCTTCATGAATTTTGAAAAAGTTGCAAAAAAACCAATGGTTACGAGCACCGCGAACCTCTCAACGCCCATACAAATATCCATCTTTACGCTCATTTCCACTTTTACCTTTGATCTCAACAAATTTTTGACATAATTATCATAGACAAATAATCAAATTTTCACAATGGTCAGAGAAACTAAACTTTATGATTTACTTGGTGTTTCACCAGATGCTAATGAAAATGAATTAAAGAAAGCTTATAGAAAAACCGCATTAAAATATCATCCAGATAAACCTACTGGTGATACAGAAAAATTTAAAGAAATTTCTGAAGCTTATGATATATTATCAGATTCAAACAAGAGAGCTGTTTATGATCAATATGGTCTAGATGCTGCTAGAGGTGGTGGTCCACAATTCGATGCTGGTGGAATGGGTGGAGGTAATCCATTTGGTGGTGCTGGAGGTGGTCATCCATTTGGTGGATTTTCAGCTGGTGATGCTTCAAACATTTTTGAACAATTTGCAAGAGGTGGTGGTTTAGGTGAAGATGCTGGTGGTTTTAGATTTAGTTCTGGTGGTTCACCATTTGGAGATTTTGGTGGTTTCGGTGGTATGCCTGGTGGTTTTGGTGGTTCACCATTTGGTGGTGCTGGTGGAATGGGTGGTGGTGCAAGATCACAACCTGAACCTGAAGCTGTAGAAGTTAATCTACCCGTTTCATTAGAAGATTTAGCTAAAGGTGCTACTAAAAAGATGAAATTGAATAGAAAGGGAAGAAATGGAACAAAAGAAGAAACTATAATAACTGTTAATATAAAACCTGGTTGGAAAGAAGGTACAAAAGTTGCATTTAAAAATGAAGGTGATTGGACTCCACATGGACGTCAAACTATAAAATTTGTTGTTAAAGAAAAACCACATCCAAATTACAAGAGAGATGGTAATGATTTAATTTATACCCTACCATTAACATTTAAAGAATCATTATTAGGTTTTGATAAACTTATAGAAAGTATTGATGGTAGAAGAATACCATTTAGTAGAAGTTCTCCAGTTCAACCAAGTTCTGAAAGTGTTTATCCAGGTTTAGGTATGCCAATTTCAAAATCTCCAGGTCAAAGAGGTGATTTAAAAATTAAATTCAAGATTGATTATCCAGTAACTTTAACACCTGATCAAAAAGCTGCAATTCAACAAGTATTTTGAACAAGATGAAATATAACAAAATACAATATAATAATACAACATAAAGAAAAAGTATGATTTTTAATGATTTTTTAATGAGGCTGGGTCTTGAAAATGTTTTAGTTAGTTAATTTTAATCCATGTATAAATATAGATATCAAACATGATCCTTTTTGGGATGTATGGGTATATACAATTATATAAATATTTTTGCATTTAATTTATCGTTATATTTATAGACTTATATATATTTAGCTGTATTACTACAATTGTCAATCTCCTATTGTAAAAATATATTAAAATACAAAACTATTGGGTATTTACCCAACTTTTCAAAAAAATGCAATATACAAGTGTTATAAAAAAAATACTTTAATAAATGACTTTTTCTTTAAATCTAAATCAAAATATAATTTAAATTAAATTATACTTATTTTTTAGCTTTTTTCTTTTCACCTTCATCATCTTCATCATCAGCTTTTCTCTTTTTTTCCTTCTTTTCCTTTTTTTCCTTTTTATCTTTCTTTTCTTTCTTATCCTTCTTTTCTTTCTTATCTTTCTTTTCCTTCTTTGATGGAGTTTCACTAACACTGACATCACCAACAGTAGTATCAGCAGCAGCTGGAGAATCAGTCATTTCAACTTCTTTAATCAAAGGTTTTGGAGTAGCATTAACTGAAGTTGGAGCAGCAGTTGGAACTGGAGCAGCTTCATCTTCATGAGAAACATAATTTGATTTCCAATCATTTGGAGTATTTTCATTGGTACGACCAAATTTATCTAATTTACCATCAGCTTTTAATTGTTTTTTCTTTTGAGCAACTGGACCTAGACCCCATCTTCTTGGATATAAATCTCTTTCCATAATACATCTTTTAACTTTAGCAACAACACCATGATCACATGAAGCTAAATCAACAGTTGACATTTGAGAAATTGCAATAGCAATAGCTTCACCTTTAGTAGTGATTAAAACAACTTCATCATATAATTCAATACCTTCTTCATATCTTAAAAGACCTGGAATCATTAATTTAGCACCATAACAAACGGCATTAACAGCTGAATCTTTAACAACAATTCTTTTATAACCTAATAATAAAGTTTCTAAAGGTTGAATAATTCTTCTTAAATATGATTCATCTCTTGTATTATCATAACTCCATTGAGCATCTAAAACATCATGTAAAGTAACTAAATTATCATTTTCTGCTAAAGCACCTGATCTAACACGACGTAATTCTTGCATATGACCACCAACACCTAATAACATACCTAAATGAACACATAAAGTACGCATATAAGTACCAGCTTCACAAGAAGCCCAGAAAACACCAAGACCTCTTTTGTTATCAAATTCAATTAAATTTGAATCATAAATTGTACGAACTCTTAATTGACGTTTAACAGCTGAAATTAATGGAGGTCTTTGAAATAAAGCACCAGTTAAATTTTCTAATGATCTACCTAAATCTTTTTCATCTTTTAAAGCATCATGTAATCTAACAATACAAACATATTCTTTACCAGCACCTTGTTGAGATTTAACTAATCTTGTTGCTCTATCAATACAAACAATTAAACAACCAGTAACTTTTGGATCTAAAGTACCTGAATGACCAGTTTTTTCACAACGTAAGATTCTTTTAATCCAAGCAACAACTTCATGAGAAGATGGGTTTGATGGTTTATCTAAATTTATAACACCTGAACTTATATATGATTTTAAATCTCTTTTTAATGGAGATGAACCTGCTGGAATTGGTGTATAATGACCACTTCTAACTAATAATTTATCGAAGTTTTTCAATAATAATGGCCATTCTGAAGCATCTTGAGAAGATGTAATGTTTTCAGGTTTAATAAATTGTTCTTCAGACATGATTAACCCAGTTGATTGACTTTCTAATTCAATCTCATCACCTTTACATTAAAGTCTTACTTTCTCTTCTAAAAAATTTTATGCTAATTTTTTTGAAATTTTTTTGTTCCGGGTAAAAAAAACAAAAAAAAAAAAAGTTTTGTCAGTGATTATGTCATAAAAACATTTGGAGAATTTACTACTTTGGATAATTACTTCTTTGGGATTTATATAGGAGGTTATACACTTTCAGTTTGTTGAAGGTTAATTAATTGTGAAATTTTGGATATTAATGCCTTTTTCATGAATTGTTCTCTAGCCAAGTTTCTAGTATGCTTTGTGAAGCTAGTCAATGTCATATTCCCATTATCGTGTGCTTTCCCAAGTGCATATATTGTATCTGATATTGCTAAATCTTCTGCAACTAAATCATATAATCTTTTTAATGTTAGTACTTTTTTTCCCAAAGGAGAGAGTAGGGGTTTATACATACTGATTGAAAACCATAGTTTCTCCACAAATAATCTCATCGATATTTAAATCACCATATCCATTCGATTCATTTATAACTTTTTGTGCTTCATCTATAGAACTATGTAAAATCAATTCATTTTCTTTTATTTGTTTTTCAGTTGAATCTAAATTTTTATATTCATATTGGAATATCTTGTCAAATTTTTCAATTGTATTTTTAATATTTAAAACATTTGAAGATATTCTATTTGAATCTTCCAAAATTTCAAAATGATTAATTTGTTGTAATAATGAATTCAAATGACCTAGGATTTGTTGTCTCTCTGGATCAACCCCGCCATTAGAATCATCAGTATTATCAGTATCCATTATATTTGGTTGCTCAAATGTATTTGATGATGATTTATTATTTTGTGATGATATTTGTTGATCAATTGAAACAGGTTGATTAAATAAATGATCACGTTTATTTAATGTTGGTGATTGAATAACTTTTGATCTTAGTTCATTTGGTAATGGAGGTAATGGGGGTGGACTTGCGGATGCTGAACTTGCTGTACTTGTTACATTATCAGATTCTTTAATTTTTGGGGGTAGTGTAGGATGTGGTGATGGTTGTTGTTGTTGTTGTTGCTGTTGATTTGATGGTATACGTTGAGATATTATTGGTGTAGTTGGTTTACTAATAGGTTTAGCAAAAACTGGAGGTTCTAAACCAAATATTTTAGATAAATGTTCACATAATTTAACAATTGTTGATTGACCATTATTATCTTCATTATTATTTGAACCCCAATTAGCTAAATAAGGTAAATAACATCTCCCACTATTATCAACATGATTCCCAGGTTGTAGAATCATTTTTTCAGTTGGAACAACATAAACAAAAGGTGCCATTAATGGATATTCATGTGGAACCCATAATTCAATTGGAATTTTATAAATCTTACCACCAATAGGAGAAGGAATTGAACCATAAAGACATAGAAGCAATTGAGATTCACCTGTTTCACTAGTATATACTCTTGTTCTTGGTTTCAATGTAGGATAAGATTGTAAAGTAGTTGCAACATCATGATATGTCAATCTTGGATCAATATATTCCTATAATATGTATCTTTGTTAGTATTTGAGCTTTTGGAAAGCTAAAAAGTGGTAATAAACTCACTGGTTGTAGCACTCTGAATAGCCATTGTAGTATCTCTTGTGGAAGACCTCCCTGTTGCATTATACCCTGATCTTCTAGCGTATAACCAATGCAATTATTTCAATTTCCAAGGGTCTTTTGCAATTTGAGTTTCGTGATTTCTATTATCATTTAAATGGTTGCAATCAAAAACTGTTTCGCGCACGCGGTTTTCCTCGTTTTAAAGAAAAGAACATTTAAACAATTCAAAAAATGCGCATTTTGATAAAGAAATAGTAGAACAAGTTGATACTTTTGAAGGATTGTTTTTGTCTCATTGAACAATTTTATTGCACAAACTATATAGATATGGGAGGGTATGTCACATGCTTTTTTTGCCGCTGTTCAGTTGTGTGGTTGGTGAGGGAAATATGGTTTTATGAATACCAGGTATCCCTTTTGTACCACAAAAGTCATCGTTATCATTATGATTATATATTGGAAATAGATACTAACCATTATGATAGTTTCACTGTTATTGGTGTGCTATTTGCTGTTGTCATAGCGTCTGTGATATTCTGGATCTTTGCTCCAAAGGAAAATCAAACGTAAGTTGAATTCATATAATATCATTATTATTTGAGTATTTATAAAGGATTTGAAATTAACATGAGTTTTTTAGTGTTTGGAGAAGTACAGTGATTTTAACATTAGCAATGATGTATTTAATGTGGGCAATTACATATTTGGGTGAGTATAACCATTGGAAATATTGTTTATTTGGATGAAATATTAACATTTATTTAGCACAATTACATCCACTTGTTGTACCACGTCGTTCAGATTTAAGACCAGAGTTTGCTGATTAGTTACGTCGTTCAGATTTAAGACCAGAGTTTGCTGATTAGTTAATTTGAAAAGTCATTACAATACAAAACTGAAAAAAACTATAGATGAATTATTTTGATTATTATAGAAAAATTATAATCAAGAAAACATAAAAACCACAAAATCTGTATATTATATTAACGTTTAATTTGAGTTAGAAATTTTACTTTTGCAAGATTATATCTTCTTTATGTAATATCTGTTAAACCGGTAGTCAAAATAAAGTGGCTTAACAAAAGTTTTATACTGTAATAATATTAGTTCATTTGAAGCTCTTCTAACTCCCATTGATTATTATCATATGTGGTGTTATTGAGAATTGAATATTTTGCCTTCTTTCCTCTTCTGTATCGTCCGTATAATTAGTTTCAATGTCATGTGAGCCAAAAATCAAGGTAGACGTCTTTGAAGTTTTTTTCATGTTCATAGATGCAATACTTTGAACAAAGTTTGATAGAAAATGTTGTGAATCAACTTCACTGAAAAAACTGCGATTTTGTAACTTGATAGATCCAGCTCCTTTGAAGTGAATGTTATTCTCACGATGAGATCTTCTTGAGTTGAGTTGCAATTCTTCATTCCATCTTTGGAAGGGGTTCGAACTTTCAATGTCCTCTATGCTCTTCGCATTAAATATTTGATATCTATATTTCGAATCTTTTTTAAAATCGTCCTGAACGATTCCTGGAAGAGTAAGTTCCCTGTAAAATTCACTCTCAGGGAGAGTTTCTTTGATGTATGGATACCATCTGACAGTAAAATCACCAATTGTCCAGTAAAGAGTCTCTAAATCAAAGTCTATTCCTCTTCGAATATAATATTCATAGTCTTCATCAAGTTCAAAAGTATCAAAAGCATTGAGATCACTAGCTAAAACATTAAGCTCTGTCTTGTTAGAAAGACTTTGGATTGTTTGAGCAAAATTGGATCCTTCCCTGGTAAATTTGTCAAACCCATCAAGAAAACATATAGAAGTAGTTAATTCTTTAACGAAATCTTTAAATAATGAGTTTGGATTAGATATAGTGTTTTCAAATACATTTTTAACATCTTTGAAGTTTCTAATATATCTTGTTGAAACATTATCTGCGTTATCATTAGAAGAACTTGTATGTATAAGGTCTATGAATTCATATTGGAAGTTTTGGCTATCATGAAGCATTTTGTACATCTTATAGGGACTAGAAGGTTGAAATAAATATGTTGAGCCAAAATTGCAATAATGAGGATAAAATGTTTGAAGTGTATCAATTGAACCAATGGTAATATCCATGTGAATAGATTTGTAAACAACTGGGGCAAAGAAGTCACAAAGTTGTTTGTTAACTCTCACAAGATTACCAGCATTCACATTATAATCTTTGACTAATAAATACCAAACTTCAATTGGAAAACATGCTGTGAATTGAGTACAAGGCTCTTTAGTTTGGGGAGCTTTAATTAAATTCAAATTGGATGCTAATTTATTGAAAGATGATTTAACATGATGAATTACTTTGGTGATACTCTTTATCAAATCTGAATTCTTAATTATTTTGAAGCATAATTGTGTCTTATATCTACTAAAAAACATAACATTTTGAAACTTCCATAAAACTCTTTTAATAGGTACTTTAATTTTGAAAGTTAGCACATAATATATAAAACTGTAAACATAATAAATGTCTGGTTCTATTTCCTCTTCACTTGCTACCATTTTGAATAACTCTTTAATGTATTTTTTAGGTACGAGCTTCAATACAACTTCAGAAAGTTTATAAATTACCCAAGAATCTTCCTCTTCATCATAAGCATCGTAATCAACGTTGGACATATTCAAATTTTATAGATAAAAGTTAAATTTTTTGCAATACTGATAATGAAAATTGTATTGATTGATAGAACAAAAGTAACAGGGGAACATTGGAAATTGATTATTCTGTCAGTTATTTATACCCATTTTTCAAACTGCTCATAAAATAGAGAATAAGGTATATAGAGTTGTTAAACTAAGATGATTTTTAATGAACATTAGGTTCTGTCGCAGTTAAAGGCTAATATAAAATCAAATCCGACTTTCCAGTCCCAAAACTTATTACTAGTCCCCAATTTTAAGAAGTGATGACAAACTAGTCCATAACTTATCAACCGTTTCATATTTTTTGCTTCCATTACCAAAGATTAACCCCCTAATTTGCTAAGATAAAACCTTCCACGCATATTTTAGCAGATTAACGTTGTTCCCAGACCCCAGACTCATAAATCGGAAAAACTCATACAACAACAACCTAACATCATCAAATTAATCAATATTAATTCAATTTAAATGATCAAAAAAAGCTATAAATCGCCAGGATAACTAGCAAAAAAAGAAGGTGCTCCGCGACGGGGAATTGAACCCCGGTCTACCATGTACTGTCAAGATCTCAAATTGAGAGAGTCGCGACAAACGGTGATTCTAGCCACTAAACTATCACGGATGTTTGGATGTTTAGGTCTTCTCAGCTGACTCCCTCTATCTGTAGTTCTCGTGGCCCTAACGATACAGGGAGAATCTTAAATTTCAATAAAAACATATAAATCAACCATTATATGATTTATTATTGTGTGTTTTGATGTAAGTTTGGGGTCTATTTAGTAGCTGATATTGAAAAAAGTGGAAAAAAGCTAGTTAATTTTTTGAATTATTTTTTTTTAATAATTTTGTTAACCTCATAAATTTTAATTTCAATTTATAAATTAATAAAAAAATTAAAGTAAAGAATTATATAAATTATTGCTTTAAACTGATTTAAATTACAGCCAGAATGTAATATATATGAAACTCTAAGTATTATGAGAAACTTTTAAAGCAGGGTTTCTACTAAAAGTATGGCAAAATTATATATTTTAAGTTTCATACCAATTTAATTACAAAATATTCGCGAAATATAGACACTTATAACCACTTATACCCGCATATGTCATCTAAATTTTTTAATTAAAAGAGAAGGTTAAAGTATATCTTTACCAGTAAACTAGTTGATATAGTCATTTGAATACTACAAAAGTTTGAAATCTTTTCAAGATCACATTTTATTAAATGATTATATCTATATGATGTCTTTCAAATACTTTGAACGATTCGTACAAAATAGTTTAAACCCATTTACCTAAGACAGCCATAATACCAGCACCAACCATCATACTACCAATTTTAAACAATAATTTCTTAACATTTCTTTTAGCTTCTTTATCTAATAAAATATCTCTTGCTAATAATTCCACTAATCCAGTATAAATTAAAATACCTGCAGAAATTGCATCTAAAACACCAGTAACAACTAAAGCATTATAAGAATTTGGTAAATAAGTTGTACGCACACCAAGACCAATTGCAGTGGATAATGGTGTGACTAATCCATAAGCAATACACATTGCATATGCCCAACCATAAGAAAGATCTTTTGGCCATGGAATTGCAGATAATCTTGCACCTAAACCTAAACCTTCAAATGATTGATGGAAAATAACAACAATATAAAAAGTTTTGAATTGTTCAGAAACAACACCTAAATTTAATCCAATAAGAACAGAATGGAAAATAATACCAAATTCTAAGACTAGGAAAGCAGCAATTTGACTTCTAAAACTTCTTTCAACCAAAACACTTGATTCATCATATTCATAAATTTTTTGATTATATTCAATATCATCTTTAGAAGGTTCAATAATATTATTATTATCATTTGATGAAGTTTTAACAATTGCAGCAACAATTTCTTTTTCACAAACATGATGATTTGATTGACCATATTTTTGTTCCACAATAACTTCAGAGAATAAATCAACTAAAAAAATTGTGAAAACACTAACTAAAATAATTGCAGCACACCAAGGATATCCACCCCAATCACCAGTACCACCCACACATGATAACATACCAATTTGTAAATAAGCAGGATCCATTAAATGAATAAAAGCAGTAGAAATAATAACACCAGAACCAAAATATCTTGCAAATGTATAAAAAGATAAAGGTAATTTTAACTTTTTAAAAGTTTTAGATAATAAGGGGAAAATTGTGAATAAAGTTGAAATTATTAAAATAACAAAAATTGATGAAATTCTTGCACCTAATTGACCATCATAAGTACTCTCACCAAAATAAACACCTTGTAGAACACAAGTTTTCCAAGCAGTATCAACATTTGGATCGGTTAATAAAACTGTATCAGGATCTAATTCCATTGACATTTTTGTTCTTTGAATTATTTTGAATTATATTATTCTTATTTGATAAATAAAACTATATTAAACATTTTAATAAAAGTTAGAGATCATCTCTTTTATATATGTATAATCAATTCTTCGTATCCAAGTGACTTTCAATGTTAAGCTTTTTTTTTAAAAAACTTCCCCTGTCTAGTTAAGCTTTGTTTTCAATTAATCTATAAAATCTATCATATAATTAAGCTTAAATCTTAGCCTTGGCTAAAGAGGTCCATAAACACCCCTAAGTTCATAAGTTTAGTCCTATAAGAATGAAGTATAATGAAAGAATTCCAAGAAACCAAGGCCAAAAAAGATCTTTCAATTGATTACATCCTTAAACATGAACCTATGAAGAATTAAATAACCAAGGTATGCACCAAGATAATTAATACATTTCATGGTTTTTAATCCTAATGGCTTAAGAATTGTAAATCAATTATATATATTGAAAAAAATAGCTTGGTTTTTGGTAGACATGTTAATACATCAATTGATAATGATTGAAAAACCCTTGGAAGTTGGGTTAATATAGCCTTAAATTATAATGTCAAGCTTGAAATTGAGGGTGTTCAAGGTATGAATGTTCACCTAGGCATTGGAAAGTCTACCTCTTGCTAGAACAAACCATTATATAGTTGTATCACTATGTTTATTAGTATGTTTAACGAGACGGTTAAGTTATATCCTCTAAATTCGCTAATAATAAATCGGATTAATTATGATTTTAACTGTAAAAAAGCTTAAATTTGAAACACCGATCGAAATTATAGTAACGGATCACGAATAACAACCACTACCAAAACAATTTCCAAAAAATTATGGGATTATGGGTATACGCGCTTTGACTAACAAGGTATGAAAGTTATAAAGCTATAAATACATCATTTTGCTTAAACAAGAATAATATATACCTTTGAACTTTCCAAGAAAGTTTTATGTAATTTTTGCTAAGCCATATAATGAAATAGGTGTGATTTTAAAAGTCAATTGACAAGAAATGTCGAGTATGTTATGGCTTATAGCTGCTTAATAGGGAATAGTGAGCTATAGTTAAAGTATATATCGAACACATGGCTAAGGAAGGCAGTATTGATCATGGACATGTTTAACTTTTGATCAAGAATAATGATTCATTATTAATGAACGAGATATCATAGAGAAAGAATCTTAGATTTATGTTATCTTATAAATCAAGTTAGAGGCCGTAGTTAAAGAATACAACAATGATCTCATAGATAGACTTACAAATAACATTCAAATTAACACCTTGGTATTAAATATATTTCTATTTAAAAAAAAATGTAGTTCCAAAACTCTTAAACCAAGATTTTTAAATATAAATCAAGATTCAAAACAGATATCTCGGTAACACGATCCTAACAATTCAATAAAACTTCTTTAAACATCGTATCAACACGTAAAAGAAAATTAAATCAAATCATTAGGCTTATTCTTCTCCATACTAGAACCCATTAATCTATTGATGCATAAAGAACATGGGGCAGAAACAGGAGATTTTGAAAAATAAGAAAAACACTATATAGATCACTAATTCTATTCATAAATAAAGATTGACATTGAATTATCCTTATTTCAATTTCTATCCTTATAATTGACCTTAAATCAAATTTTCTTGTTCTTATTGTTTATTATTGGAAAGAAAGAAAAATTGGATGGAAAAATTTTCCCTTTTTATACTTTTAAATAATTCGCGAACTGCTTTTTTTTCGGGTGGAGGTTTAGTCATTAGTTATATAATCACAATTAATTTAATTTATAATTTCCGAGGGCTTTTGAATTTAAGAATAATTAAAATATAGGGTATATCAATTGTTTTGATTTATATCAACTTGATCAATTGAACAACAAAGAAAGAGGAAACAGTGAAGTTATAGGTTTTCAATACTACCACCAACTCCAATTATGATAAGGATTTAAAAATATGAATTTAAATTATGAATTTATAAATTCAATACCCCATGGATTAATTATAATCAAGAATTTTATATCAAATATAATTATATTTATATATGGTCAAATAATATCAATTATAAAATCATCAAATCCAATTATAATATCATGTTTCCAAGGAATAATATCAATCTTGAAATCAATCTTAAAAATCTCATGGATTTCAATTATATCACCTTTAAAATTCATTTATAATATAATAAAATTAATAATTTATTTAATATTTGAACCATTTATGCTTATAATCAAAATATTAGAATATAATTCTATACAATTTATAAATTTTTGGTTAATGTTAATATTTCAAACCAAATTAGAACAAATTTTCAATTGGGAATATGGGAAATTACAATTTAAAATTTTGATACAATGGATTAGATTTTTAAATGTTATGATTATAACAAGTTTAATATTGGGTATAATTACATATTATACAATGGTTCGTATAATATATTGGCTAACAAAATTAGATAAACATACAGAAAAATCAATTATTGATATAAAGACACATAATGGTGAATTAACAAAAATTAATAGAATTCCAATAATTGAATCATTAAGTAAAGAAGATGAAGAATTTTGGAGAAATAAGATTAATGGAAATGAAAGATTATTTAATAATATTGATGATAATAATGATAGTAATGATACAATAACTTATAATAATAATAATCCAATTAATAATAAAACAACTGAAGAAAATGTTATAATGATGGATAATAATGAAGAAGATTTAAGTACATATGGTGGATTAAATTCATTAAATTCATTAAATTCAATATCTAATTCATCAAATGAAACAAGTCCAAATCAAGATCAAATTAAAGATATACCAATAGATACCGATACACCAAGTTCTACATTAAGATCAAGACAACAACAATCAACAAGATCAACAAGTAGTACATCGGGAACAGGAACAAGTATATTTAGTAGATTAAATCTAACACCTATCAGTACAATAACTGAAGATTCAGATGAAGATTATGAAAAATAATTGGCTAATATTATAGAATAAATAATGCACTTATATATCTTTTAATTATACGACATGTAAATCTTTCATATTCACAAGATTCAATTTGGTCCATTGACATTAAAATATTCTTCAAGATGTACAATAATCCCACAACTTTAAAACAAATTTAAATTTTATTGGTATACATGTGATTTTAATGTACCAATAACTTTTTAAACTTTCTTTGCATAAATGAAAAAATCAAACTTCATTCTCTTTATGTGCTGTATACATTACTAGACACTTTTAATCTTGAACAACATGATATACAAAGAACATTTGATGTAAAAAGAACAATAAACTTCATAACGTCAATTAATTTACATAAAAGTTATACGTTTCATAGTTTCATTTTCCAACAGTTCTAGGGGGTTACAGGTTATTTCCATATGGATCGGTGAAAGGCTTGAAAGTTGAAAGGCGGTTGAGTTACAGTGATGTTAATATTTACAATGCATAACATTGTTGATCAAAGATGGGTTATCAATGGCTGCATAATTATATTATCAAGAAGAAGTTAGAACTTGGTTAAAGTTGAATGTCAATTGTGTTCCAAATCTAGTACAAATGATTAGATTAATGTGTACATTGTACATATATGATTAATTCTAAGGGATAAATTAAGTAATAGGTTCATGTATCTTGTCTTGTTACCAACATGTTACCCAACTTCTCATTTGGTTGGTTGATATATAATTACAAACGCTAAGTACAGATCTACATATAATTAAGGCTAAGGCTCAACAAAAGGTGGCACACTACATGATATATCGATAGATAACACCGATAAACTCGTTGGTAACTTGTTAAATTAACATCTACACCACAGATTTGATAAGCTATAAATGATCTGATAAATGATCTCTCATAGTTTATAAATCAAAACTACTTGTACCTATAAAATTATTGTTTATATCGGAGAAATCCCTATCCCCCACGTCAAGACTCCAACAGTCAAGACCATTATATATTAGGTCCATAAGTCAAACGTTTCATCTCTCCATACAAAACAGTAAATAGGTATCTGTGTGCTTAAGTGCTGTTATAATTTTGATTGATCTCAAGGTACTTATTAACTCATCGGATAAAATATCAAAAAATACGAAGATCTGGTTCAAATTTATGGTACTCGTTTAAATTTATATGTAATAATCTGGGACAGACAATAAAAAACTACAATAAGACAATAAGACAATAGGACAGTGGACACCGGTAATTTATGGACAAACAATTACAATTGTCGTGACATTAACTTACAGTAACACATTTTAAATTTGATGCTTTGATGCTCATTTTATGCACAATTTATGCATTGATCAAGATACATCAAATTAATTTAAATTATGATCTTATAAGAAAAATTGAAAAGTCTAGATCAGATTATTATAAGGATCAAATTGATTTTGTATATAAACGTTTCAAATTCCTTTTGAAATCTATGAATCTTTTCTTCATTTCTTTATAAACTAATCAACTTTGCAAAATGTATCATCAACAATATCAATATCCTATTCCTTCTTATCATCAATATCAAGTTAATCAATATCAATATCAACAACCACCTGCACCTCCTTTACCAAGTCCAACCATCTCAAATCAATCATTAGGTCAACAATGGAATCATGGTCAATATCAACAACAACAACAAATTCAATGGAATCCAAATTATAATCATCAACCACGATCAATTCCACATCATCAACCACAACAAAATTATAATTTCCATATAACAAAAGTTGATAATAGACCAATAATGAATTCAATTAAATTACCATCAATATCAAATTTTTCAAATTTTAAGAAACCAATTGTTTTCAAACCACTTCCAATAAATCCAAATCATATTAATAATGTTAATCATATTTATTCTTTAAGTCCAACTTCTTCAATATCAAGTTTAACAAGATCTTCATCTTTAACTTCAATATCAAGTTTTTCATCAAATTCATCTTCAAATCCATCTTCAAACCCTTCATCAAGATCTTCATCATTATCATCACCAATAAATAATAAATCATCTAAAATTCATAAAAAATCAAATGAACCAAAAAAAGATCAATTAACAATTCAACAAAAAATTGCAATTGAAAATAAAATAATTCAAGAATTAAAACAAGAATTATTAGAAAAAGCAACAAAAACTGCAAAATCACCACCACCACCTAAATTTAAAATTAATTCAAATCATGAATATTATTCAGATATGTTAATTTTTAAACCAAAACATTCATTTTTACAAAAAATTAAAGTTGATGATTTATTTGTATCAAAATATGTTTTCCAAGATTTAGAAATTTCACCATTATTAAATCCAAATGCAACAAAAGTACAAAAATTATCAATTAATAAAAATAAAGTCCTTGAATATAAAATTTATGAATTTTTTTATAAAATTTCAAAATTTAATGATAAAACTTCTGAAATTGAATCATCTAAATTAATTAATAATTTCCCATCAAATCATATTTATTTAACTATAAAATTTGATTTATTTGATTGTGATTTAAATAATGATTTCTTGATTCATGATTTGAAGAATATAATTATAAATTTAAAATTATTGAAAACTTCAAATTCAAAAATTGATTCAATAAAGATTAAATTTGAATTATTAAAAATTTTTAATAAATTTATGCCTCAAGATGAATCAATTCAATTTAATTATCAAACTAATAGACCTTGTTGGAGATTAGGTGCAAAAGATGAATTAAATATCTTGGAAATGGATATTAAATTTGAATATTAAAAAAGACTATTGATCAACCATTATTAAAGACCATATAATTATAAAGACTTCATATTCAAAGCAGCTATTAATTTTATTTTATTTGCATATCAAAACCTCATAAAATCATATAAAGAATATATTAAAAACCAATAAAAAAACACAGACTGGATTCTGTTAAATTAACTGCTAGACATTTAATTATTCATTATTTTCATCTTCATTTATATCATATTATTTTCATTCAATCTATTTATTTTTCAATTCATTTTTGTTTAAATACCTTTGCTAATAAAAAAAATAATTGCATCAGAAAAAAATCATTGTAGAAGATAGATCATAGAACTAATTCAAGTAGCTAGTGAGACTCTCGAGAGGAAAATTATTAGGAAATTTATTAGGCAGATAGACAGGGAATAGCCAGTGGAAGGAGTAGGCGGTAGGCAGAATAGACAGAGAATTAGAAAAGTAGTTCATTGCGAAAAGAGCATTTAGGCAGATTAAGTAGATTTAGGCTTATAGGCGGATTAAGCTTACAGCCTATAGCGGGATGGTGTTAAAAAGATTAGACTCATCTCCTCATTTCCTCATAAACTCACCAGCTGGGTGCCCAATCTTCATAGGCAGATAGGCAGATTAGGCAGATCTCTCTTAATTTCAACTTCTTTCTTGCCCCACTTATACACAAGAGCGTTTCAAAGATTCAGGCGTTTATCCGTTCCACCGAATTTTACCGGGATAACAGTGAACACCTCAAAAGGTATCCCCCGTGCCTACTGCCTACTGCCTATACTTTTAGGCTGAAATGTTAAATTTGTGCCTAGGAATTTCCTCAAAAGGAACGACCGCATACCCATAAAGGGAAATGATCTACAATGAAGTTTGTTTTCTTCTTTCTAAAAATTACCAAGGCTTGTGGGAAATTTGGGGGAACGTAGGGAACTCGAAACAATTTTAAAGGAAAGTACGTACTACGTAGTGAAGTAGTGAAGTAGTGAAGCAGCCAACAAAGAAAAATTCAAACGGATGACCAAGTTCAGCAAAGAATTAAGCCGGTTTCAATTTTAAGCCGAACTCTTAAAGGATAGTAGTCAGACGAGTTGTAGGCAGTAGGCGGACACACCCTGGGCTGTTTCAGAGTAAAACTCTAGACAGAGTCATAAGAGGCACTTGATGGGAAAACATTCTCCCAGTAGAGCGCGCTAAATTTTTAAATTTTCCTACAAACCACCTAGAGATCGGGCCCAGAATCACCCACAAGTCCCACGGTGATTCGTTCACTGAAACTCCCAACCAAATTTTTTTTTTCTCTAATAAAGGATCAAATTTCCCACTAAATTTTCAACAACTTCTTTGTACAATTCTACACAGGATTCCCTTTAAAAACTTAAACAGAGATCCCTTAAAACATAACAATGTCTGCCCATTTAAAAATTGCTAAAGATCAAGTAAGTAAACAATCAACAATCAAAACAAACGCGTCAAAACAATGATAAACTAACAACCTCCAGCTTGTTTCAGCTCTTTACGAATTATCAAAAGCTGCTAATGAAGCTTCAAGTGCCACAGTTGATTTTTATAATGCTTCATTAACAACAGAAGAAGATTCCACTGAAGTTTTCAGACAATTAGGTGATTCTTTAAGAATCTTAACTTCTGCAACAAATGGTGTTAATGATACTGCAAGATTAATTGCTTCAAATTCTTCAATTGATCCTACTTTATCTTTAAATAGTTTAGTTTTACCAGATCAAGTTTTACCATCTCAAGCTACTCAACCACAACAACATCAACATCATCAACAACAATTACAACATCAACAACAACAACAACAATCATCATCAACTGAACAAGAAAAACCTGCTAAAAAGAAAGTTGAAAAAGATCCAAATGCTCCAAAAAAACCATTAACTGTTTTTTTTGCTTATTCTGCTTATATTCGTCAAGCTTTAAGAGAAGAAAGATCTTCAAAAGGTTTACCAGCTTTATCATCAACAGAAATTACTCAAGAAATTTCTAAAAAATGGAATGAATTGGGTGAATTAGAAAAAGAAAAATGGAAAGAAGCTTATAATGAAGAATTGGAAACTTATCAACGTGTAAAAGAAAAATATTTAGAAGATAAAAGAAATGGTATTGCACCAATTATAACTGGTCCAAATCCTGCTCCTGTTCCAATTCCTTCATATCTTTTAAAAGATAAATCTAAAAAAAGAGATCATGATGGTTCAAGTGAAAAAAAAGATAAAAAAAAGAAGAGTAAAAAGAGAAAATCTGGTATTCCAGAAGGTGTTTCAACAAATCCTGGTGATTTATCACTTCATGTTTAAAAAAAGGAACAACAAATCTTTTTTGATACCTTTTCTATTTTTCACTTCTTTTAAAATGTTTTTTTACTTGATTACTTATGACTGTATCATATATATATAATTAATTGTTTACTATACGTTTATATTTTGTTTTATATGAATTTTTAAGAAGTAAACAAATACTCCTCGAAGCTTATATTGATTTGTAATAAATTATATAATCACAACAAAAATTTCTGATTATTTAATCACGATTTTTTTTTTTTTTTCATCCAAACACCATCCATTTATTTTTCAATCGTTGGTCAAAAAAAAAGTTGATTATAGTATAGATTGAAAGGTAGTTAGATCAACTCGAATAGCTATATTTCATACTAGACTGTCTAAATCTATTCAAAAATGTTTGGTATTGGTCAAAGAAGTATAGTGAGATCATTCTCAACTAGTTCTAAAATACTGAATTCTCAAAAACCTTTATATAAAACACCATCAAAATGGTTAGATTTAAATGCTGAACAAGTTTTCGATTTACATTTAAAAAGAAAATATGAATTATCATTAAATTATAGAAAATCTGAAATTGAATTACAAGCTTTGAAAAAACATGCAAAAGAATATGGTTATACTCCACAACAATTGGAACAAATTTATTGGGATGGTGATTTAGCTCATGCAGAAATTGATGGATTACCATTAAATTCAACAAAAATTTTTGATCAACCTTTAACTTTAGATGAATATCCAGAACCTGCACAAGTTAAAATTAAAAATCATAGAGAAAGAAGAAAATATAATAGAATTGCTGCATATGAAATGCCTCATTTAGCTAAATATCGTCAAGAATATCAACCACCAAAAAATAAACCAATTAATTTAAAATATACTTCAATTTTAGGTGAAGAAGATTTACCAATTAATAAAAAAGTTGTTTTAACTTTAAAAACTGAAGAATTAGGTTTAAATAATGAAGAATTACATAAATTCAGATTAATTTCAGGTACAAGATATGATTATAGAAATGATGAATTTAAAATGTCAAGTGAAAAATTTCCAGAAACTTTACAAAATACAAGATATTTATTAGATACTTTAAAAACATTAATTTCAGAATCAAAAGATCCAAATGCTGATAAATTTCTTGATATTCCATTAGATAAACGTCATATTTTTGCAAAAGAAAGAAAACGTAAAAATAGAATTAAAGAAATTAGAAAAGTACAATTCCCAGAAGAATGGAAAAGACCAGAAGATGCACCAAAAGTTGAAAAAACTGTATTAGATTATTTATATGAAAAAAGAGAAGCTGAAAGATTAGCATCTTATGAAAAATGATTTTTGAAAACTAATATAAAGGATAAAAGAAAGATTTAAAGCTGCATATGAAATGAATAATCTTGTAATAAAAAGAATATAATTTGTATATATAAAAATACATTGAAATTTGAAGTTTATGAATAAATAGTTGTAGTAAAATTTCTTTGTAATTCAAGTTTGCAAAATAATGGGGAATTCAAATATTCTACGATCAGTCAAAAACCCGCCCGCGTTTTCATAGATGTTCTTTACTAACAAATATTATCCCCAAAACTAATGAGTTCCTGAAATAACTTCATTGAAATACAATTTGAAGTATATGTATACTAACATTATTTGTTTATTAAATTATAAGTATTCAAATGAATATATTTTTATATACAAATTTGTGGTATTATAATTTATATAAAATATAATGAATGGGTTTTGAAATATTTGATACAATTCGGGCGTTTCAAGATATATCATATGATTCACGCGAAAGCTATGGTTTATGGTTTATGGTCAGGGTTGTCACTTGTCAGTGTCGGTCTTCTTATAAGCAAAACGTACTTAGTTGGTGCCATGATTCTAAACAAGCAGCTGTAACATAAGATTTATAGAACAAACGAGTTTTATACCCTACTGCATATATTAAAAACTTCTTGTTATCTTTTGTGTCAAACCGTGTGTTTCTAACAATACCTTATGGATAATATATTAACTTTCAATTTTACTAGCCCCTATTCAGACTTAGAAAATGTATATATAAATAGACAATGGAGAGGTTATCAGCTTTCCTTACAATACAAAGTTGATATTGAAATAGGCTCACCATAGAAATGAATATCATTGAACTACCATCTGAAGTATTAATTCAAGTATTGATCCGATTGGATTTTGAAACTTTACAAAATGCTTTATCAATTCCTTTATTGCATGCAAAAATGGATTGTGAATTTACAACTATTATTGTGACACATGATAAGGAACTGAATGAAAAAGATAGAGATTATCCCGGAAAAGTTATAAACTCTGCTGACATTGACCCAAATAAATTTCAACTTCAGACTTTTGCTGTTTTATTTATGTTTGAAGTTATACCTCACAATTTTTATCCGTCAATATTGAGCAAGGTGAATGCTAGTTTCAGTTCAATAATTCTACAGAGTATTTACGAGCCATGTTTGGATTGTATAATAGATTATGCTGATTTGGTGGAGTTCAAAAATACATATGACAATAGTGCTCATTATCGTTCGATTAAGTCATTAATTGAATTTGCAAGAACCAATCTTGGAAACCTTATGATGTTTGACTTTGGTAAATTAGAGGTGATGGCTTTCGAAAAAGTTGAATTGGATCCAAATTGGATGAGTTTGAGAAATGTTAAATCACTTCGTTTATATCAATGTACAGGTAAATCTAGTGTGATTAAGTTCTCTTTACCAAAATTGGGAAAATTGTTAATCGATGGTGATTGTTCATCAGCCCTTAAGAATGTGTTTGAGCTGAAAGATATAAAAAGCTTTTTAAGCGGCTGGCTATAACTGGAATTGATCAGATCTATGAGAATTTGAATTTTCCTTATCTATCAATGATCTTTGTTGGTTGTTATTTTGATTTAACAGTTGATCCAAAAATTATATTGAGAAACTTCAGAGCAGATAATTTAACTAATATCGGTATATATCCACTCACAAGGTTTAGACTTGAAAATTCATTTATTAAAGGTATATTTCGTGTGACGAGTTGGAATTTTCAACACCAAAATCAAGATCAATCTATAGTTAGTTGTGTTTTCAAAAATGTCAAAGCACCTTCTTTCGAAAATTTTTGCTCAAGCGGAACTCCAAACAAATTCTCCGTTGAAGGTTATCTGGACTGCACACCAATCAGTGAATCATAAGTAATCTTTGATGGTTTTTAATTGAAATATTTAATTGATTGAAAAGTTTATATACTTGATGTAGTTATCTCACTTTCGACCCAAGTCAACCCGGAATTCAATATTTTAAATTTCCGCGAATTTTACAGATTCGTTGATTAATTGAAAACAATAAGCACAAAATTATAAACAAATTTGGCGTCAAAACTGTCAATTTGAATCAACTCAAAATCATCAAAACAGTGGGAATTTCAACCTCAAAATAATTGAATAAAGTTGATACAGCATGCCACCAAGAGGACACGGGAGAAGAAAGATTGGGAAGACTTCCTCTACTGCGGGTAAAGCATCTGCAAAAAAATCCATAAAGTCATCATCTCCATCAATAACGTTACAAGAAATTCTTGATAATTTAGGAATACAATTTGATAAAGACATCGGATTACTTAATGGTGAAAGTACAAGAATAATACCATCCATATCAACTTTAGAATCATTGAGGAAATCATTAGTGAAGCTAAATGATCAATTGGAAATTGTATCAAATCATGATGAACTCACTATTGAACAAGTTACAAGACAATTGAAAGTGAATAATGGAGAAGTACAAGAAGATGAAGATATTGAAATGGATGATAGTGATGTTTTCACAGCTGAAGCAACCCCAATACCAAAAGATTCAGAATCAAAAGACTTGAAGAAAGATGAAGAAGATGATGTAAAGATGGAAGATATTAGTTCAAGTCCTAATAAAGATGAAGTTGATACAAAAGATGAAGACAATGAGAAAAAAGTGAAAAAAGAAGATGAAGACGATGAAGATGAAGATGAAGATGAAGATAAACCTCTTGCTGATACAACACCACCACCAAGCGCAGCTGAAACCATTACAAAAGATGAAGATGTGCTTGTTGATATACCGAAAGATGATTTAAAATCATCACCATCAAAGAGGAAATTAAGTCATCAAGAAGAAATAGAAAATGATCCATCAGTTCGTAACCCAAAATCAGAATTTGTTACATCTCAAACATTACCTGCAGCTGCTATTGCATTAGGATTATTTTCAGATAAAGATGGTGGATTAGAAGAATCTGGTGATGAATATCTGAAAAAAAAATATGCAGTTTCTTCTTACCCAAAAAATGATTTAAAAGATTTATTACCAGGTCCAATACCTGATATTGATTTTAGTAAAAGTAAACCATCAAATCAGGTTCAATTTGCTACATTTCAAAGTTTTATTGAAAATTTTTATAGAAATTTTACAGAAGATGATTTAAAATTTTTGAAAAATAAATATATAATGACTGATGCTTTGACAAATGATTCAAATTACGATCCAAATTTAACTCCATATTTAATTCCAAATTTGGGTCAATTATATTCATTAGTTTGGAATGAAGAGGAAAATTCTTCAAATTATTCACCACCACCATCAAGAGTAACTCATGATTCAATATTACCAAAAAAATCTTCAACTGATTTGAATGATGATGTATTAGAGACTGAAGATGTTAGTTGTGGACCTTTAGTTTCAAGATTATTATCAGCTATATTAAAAGATGATAAAGGAAATGAAAATGGATCTATTGATAATAATATAACGAATTCAAATAATACAACAACAACAACAACTACAAACAACAATAACAATAATGAGAAAAATGATGATGATATTACTATAACTGCTTCAAATACAATAAATAATGAACCAAGAACAAGTACAAGTGCATTACCTGAACAACAAGGTTGGAAAGTATCAAGTGTTAATGCAGATTATAATTCATTAGAAGATAGATTGAAAAGAGAATTAAAATATATTGGAATTTTCATGAATTTAAATTCACAAAATGGTTCATCAAATAATAATGAAAATAATAATAATAATAACAATAAAGATGATGATGAAGATCAAGAACCTGATTGGATGAATCCTCAAGATGATGAAGTTTCAACAGAGCTACGTCAATTACAAAATGAATTAAAAACAGTATCAAGAAGAAATAATAAAAGAAAAAAGGAATTATTACCAATTATTGAAAATCAATTAGCATGGCAAGAGTATTTATCTATATTAGATGATTTAGATAAACAAGTTGATAGTGCATATTTGAAAAGAATTCGTGTACCAAAACATAAAAAAAAGAAAACTGCATCAGGTTCATCATCAAATACTCATGGATCATCTGTACCACCATCTGTTCAAATTCAACAACAAGCTCAACAAGCACATCAAGCTGCAGCAAATTCTGCAATAAAATCATTATTAGAGAAAAGAATTAGATGGATTAATAGAATTGGTCCATTATTTGAAAAACCTGATGGTGGTAATATGAAAAGAATACCAAAAGAAAGTGTTTTCAGTAAAGGTGATTTAGATGAAGAAGAAGAAGAAGATTATGAAGATGGTGAAGATTTAGTTTTACAACAACAACAATGAATGAATTTAAAATTTTGTATTATAATACAATATGAACATGTAGTTTTATATAAATAAGGTATTTCATTAAAGAGAATATATATACAAGAAAATGAGATATGGAGCTTAAGCTAAAGCTTTTCTAATATCTTTTAAAGGAGGTAATGAATGAACAGTACCAACAGCAGCAATTGAAACAGGTTTATCTTTTAATCTATAATTAGCCCAATTAACAACATCATCTTTATTTATAACATCAACTTTTTCGAAAACTTCTTCAGGACTTAATCTTTTACCAGTTGTAACAATTTGTCTACCAATATCTTCAGCAATTGCAGTAGAACCATCAAGACTTAATAATAATGAAGCTTTTAATTGAGCTTTTGCTCTTTTAATTTCATCATCAGTTATATCACCTTTTTTCAATCTATTCCATTCATTTGTAATTTCATTTAATACATTTTTTAAATCTGTTGATTTATCAGCTGTTAAATAAACACCCCAAAGACCTGTATCTGAATAACTTGTTGAAAAAGACATATAAGAATTAGCTAAAGGTTCACCATTAATACCATTTGCAACATTTAAAGCTAATTGAGATGGTGAATTTGATCCTGTACCAAGTGATCTATCCCAATTACCAACAATAGATTGTGTAACTAAAGCAGTGAAATAATCAGCACCAGACCAACTTACACCTTCAACAGCAATTGCTAAATGAGTATTTGGTATTGAATCATCTTGAATTTTAATTTCATCACCATGGAAAACAGGTAATTCACCACGAGGAGTACCTAATGGTAATTTTTTTGGTGAAGGTTTTAAATGATTAAAATATTTATCAGCATATTTAACTAAATCTTCATGATTAACAGAACCTGTACCAACTAAAACCATACGATCACCTGCATAATTTTTTTCAATATAATTTTTCAAATCATCTCTTTGAATAGTTCTAATATTTTCTAAAGGACCTAGGATTGTACGACCTAAAGGTTGATTCTTATAACAAATTGCATGTAAATGATCGAAAACAACTTCATCATACATCTTATCAACTTCTTCAGATTCTCTTATTATAACATCACGTTCTCTTTCAATAGCTTTTGGTTCTAAAGTAGATTTTGTTAAAATATCAGATAAAACATTAATAGCATTTGGAATATCCTTTTCAGTAGATTTAGCATAATAAACAGTATTTTCTCTTGATGTATAAGCATTCAAATGAGCACCTAAATCTTCAATTTCTAATTCTAAAGCTAATTGAGATCTTGCAGTTGTACCTTTAAATGCTAAATGTTCTAAGAAATGTGCAGTACCATTATTTTTAGCATTTTCAGCTCTTGAACCAGCATCAATCCAAATCCCCACAGTGGCAGTGGAAGAATGTGGGATATATTCAGAAGCAACAGTTAACCCATTTGATAAAGTTGAAGTTTGAGTAATTGGTAAAGTTGAAGCTAAATTTGAAGTTGAAGAAGCTGAAGTAGTTGAAGTAGCAGTGGCCAAATTTCTTGTAATGTTTCTTTGACCAAACCCTAGGGCCCTTTTCATTGATAGCGCACGTAGCATCTTAATATTCTGTGTAGCAATAGTATTCCCAAAGTAATCAAAAAGAAGTAGAAACCTATGATTTATAAATATTCAAAATAGTAATTCATTATGGCTTTCTGGTTCTTTTTTACTAATAATAAAGTCTAGAAACGGAAAAAAGAATTCCGACCATCAATCATGTGACTGAATATTCTCAACTATGTGATGGGCCAAACCGGAATGTCCCACATAGAAGCCGTCAATTTTTATTAAAATCATCAAAATTAATTGAATGGCAAAATGAAATCAAAAACAATCAACACAAATTTAGTTTGTTATAAGGAGTTGAGTGCTGGTAAACATGTCTGATGAAGAGGATTTCATGATGTCCGATGGTGACGGAGAGTCATACGACTTTGAGTTTGAAGATGATGATGATGGATTGGCTGATGAAGATATGAATTCAATTGGTGATGAAGATCAAAGTGATGGTAATGGTGATGATAATGATGAAAATTCAGCTGAAGCATTGTATTATAATGCTAAGAATACAAAACAAGATGATCCAGAAAGAGCAATTGGGATATATGAAGCTATTTTGAAGATTGAAGACTCGAATTCTGATTCATCAGTGGAGGAATTGATTGAATATAAATTTAAAGCTTTAAAGCAATTGATTAAAATTGAATATAAATTAGAGAAATATGATGGATTCATATCACATTATAGACAAATATTTCAATTGGATTTGAATAAGATAACAAGAGGATATGTTGAAGATAGTTTGAGTAGGATATTGGATAGTTATATTGGATTACCATCAAATTTACAATTAGATTTTTTAAATACATTTATCCAAGATTGTCAAAATGGTAATGATCGATTAAATTTAAAGGCAAATTTGAAAAAAATTCATGTATTCATTGAATTGAAAAAATTAGAAGATTCTAAAAAATTATTGAATCATTTATATGAATTACTTGATAAAATGTCTGAATTAACCAAAAATACATATTTATTAGAATTATATTCTATTGAAATTCAATTACATTCAGATGATAATACACCAGGGGCAGGAACCAAATTAAAAGAGTTATATAGAAAGACATTATCAATTCAAAGTACAATTCCACATCCAAGAATTAATGCAATTATAAAAGAATGTGGTGGTAAAATGTATATGAAGGATGAAAATTATGAGCAGGCCTCAATTGAATTTTACGAAAGTTTTAAAAATTATGATGAAGTTGGTAATCAATCTAAAAGAATTATAATATTAAAATATTTAATTATTACTTCAATATTAAGTAATAATGAAATTAATAAATTTGAAAGTCAAGAAACAAAATTTTTTTTAAAAGATGAAAGAATTTTAAAATATATTAAATTAATAAATACATTTGAATCATTAAAACATGATGAATTTATGGAAACTTTAAATTTATTATTTAAATTGGAGAAAGATGATGGATTTTTAATTCAACATTTGAAAACTATTGAAAAAATTTTCAAATTACAAACATTGATTAATTATATTAAACCATTCAAAAGATTATCTATATTGAAAATTTGTGAAAAATTAAATTTAAATGTTGAATTTATTGAAGATAGTTTTTTGAATTTAAGTAATAATGAACAAATCAAAAATATCAAATTAGATTTCATTGAAGGTGTGATTTATAATAATGCATGATAAACTGCTGATATACTAGTGATTTATATAACGAATTAATGAAATAAAAGTACTACAACTAGATAATGGAATATATGTACATGTAGATTTTCATAACAACTATAAACATGACTATGAATTAATTGATGGTGATGGTAAATCTTTTGCAGAAGCTGCACCAATTAATGGACCTAATATTTTCAATTTAGTTTCATAATCAATAGTATTATTCTTATCAAGAGAATTTGCAACAATTGAAGCATTAAATTTTAAATTTTTATTTTTTAAATGTGATTCAAATTTTGATAAATCAATTTTTTGTAAATCACCTTTAAAAACTGTATTAGCATTAAAATGTGAAGCAGAATTATGATTTAATGATGAACGAATTGTTTTCAAAATTCTTGAATGTTCATCATGTGATAATAATGGTGAAGTTTTCAATAATTCTTGTAAAGTTGGTACTTGTAATTTATAATCTTCAACAACATTTTGTAAATTTAAATTAACAGCTGGTAAATCATTACCTGTTGATCTTCTTTGTTTGAAATTTTTAGCATTCTTTGAACCTCTTGCACCACCTTTTGAACCACCAGGACCTCTTTGACCATTTCTTTGACCATTTCTTGGACCACCTCTTGGACCACCTCTTGGAGCACCTGATCTTGGAGCACCTCTTGCGAAATCAGTTCTTTCACCATTGAAATCTCTTGGAGCTCTTTGAACTCTTGGTGATCTTTCAGATCTTTCAGGTCTTTCAGTTCTACCACGAATGATTCTTTCAGTTGGTCTATCTATATTTACAGGTCTTGGAGGTGTAGTAAGACTTTTTCTTTGTTGTGATCTAAATTCATCTGGAGTTAATCTATTTGATTGTTGATTATTTGAATTAAAATTATTTCTTTGATAAGATTGTCTTCTATTATTATTATTGAAATTTTTATTTTGATTTGATGGATTTGTAGAGAAATCATCCATAGCTTGAGTTATTTCACCATGATTTATAGATCTTTTAGTATATTTTTCTCTTAAATTTGGTTTTGGTCTATTAATTTGATTTGAATTTTTAGTTTCTGCAAAACCTTTTGTTAAATTCTTTACCCTTTCTAATAATGCATCGATATCACCAGCAGATGTGGATGAGTTGAATCTCACAGATGTTAGTCTGTGCACTTGGTTTCTAAACATTGTATCCTCTCAAAACCAAAAGCTATCAACAATCAAGTCAATAATATATCAATCACTTCAATCAATTTCAATATCATTTATATTTTCAACGAATGGCCAATATTGAAAAAAAAGAATCCAAACAATTCGCGAATAAAATGAATTCGCGGAAAAATAGGTCGGAACTTGCAAATTAAATCACGTGGAAATAAGCACCGGAAATACCGTTTTAGGAAGTCAAGAATAAAAGTTTAATTCAATTAACTTTATTTCACTTTATTTCACTTTATTTCACTTTTATTTCATATTTATACACTTTAAATTTCCTTCTATTGTCTTTGTGGGGAATCGATTGGTATAACAATACCAATTTAGGTAAAAATATCGATTGCTAAACAAAAATATGCTTTGAGATAATTGTCATGATAATAAAACTGTGATAACAATATTCATCTTATTGATCTTGGCTGGTTGCAAATTGAGGAGCAAAGAATTGTTGATAAAGTACAGTTTATAAGGTCATCGATAAAGAAACTCGTTGATATCTTGGTATTTCTGCTTGTTTATATAAATATCCAGAAAATGGGTAGAATTGAAAAGTAACATAATGAGTACTAATTAATTAATACCCACAAAACCATGTCACAGTTCAATCAACCAAGCAACAGTGATATTGAAAAGGAAATAAAACCAAATGAACTTTTCAAACCTCAAATAATTGATAAAGATTCACAAACTTCAATAACATCAATTAATACAACTCATCGTACTTTAAATTCAAGAACAATAAATTTAATTGCAATTGGTGGTTCCGTGGGTACTGCATTATTTGTTACTATATCTGGTGGTCTCTTAAATGGTGGTCCTGCAAATTTATTTATGGCTTTCACAATATGGTCTTCAATAATTTTTTGTATTATTGCTTCAATAGGTGAAATGGTTTGTTATTTACCTATCCATGCACCTTTTATCCAAATGGCTGGTCGTTGTGTTGATGAAGCATTTGAAGCTATCGTGGGGATGAATTATTGGTTAATGACTGGTATATTAGTTCCTTTTGAAATTACTGCAGTTAATTCAATGATTCATTTTTGGAGAGATGATTATTCACCTGCAATAACTTTTGTTATGCAAATTTTCATTTATACATTATTAAATGTATTTGCTGTTAAATATTTTGGTGAATGTGAATTTTGGTTATCATTGGGGAAATTAATTTTAGCTATTGGGTTAGTATTTTTCACATTTATAACAATGGTTGGTGGGAATCCACAAAATGATGCATTTGGATTTAGATATTGGCAAAATCCAGGTCCAATGGTTGAATATATAACCACGGGGTCAATGGGTAGATTTCATGGATTTATGTCTTCTTTAAGTATTGCATGTTTTACATGTGTTGGACCTGAATATCTTTGTATGGTTGCAGGTGAAGCAGGTCAAGAAACTCGTAAAGTTTTAGCAAAATCTTTTAAATCTGTGTTTTATAGATTATTTATATTTTATGTTTTAGGTTCACTTTGTGTTGGTGTTTTAATTGCTTCAAATGATGAAACTTTAGTTCATTTAGCTGAAACTGGTGGTGGTTCAAATGGTGCTTTTTCTCCTTATGTCATTGCAATGAATAATTTGAACATTAAAGTCCTTCCACATATTGTTAATGCTTTATGTGTTACTTCAGCATTTTCAGCTGGTAATTCATATGTTTATTGTTGTTCAAGAACTTTATTTGCTCTTTCAGAAAATGGATTTGCACCAAAATTTTTCCAATATTGTACTAAAAATGGAGTTCCAATATTTTGTGTTGGTGTTGCGTTTTGTTTTTCATTATTATCTTTACTACAATTAAGTACTTCAACAGGTCGTGTATTAACTTGGATTGTTAATGTTATTACAGGTGCTCAAGTTACAAATTATTTTTTGATGAGTATTACTTATTTTGGGTTTTGGAGAGCTTGTAAAGCACAGGGAATTGATAAATCAAAATTTAGATTCAAATCATGGTTTCAACCTTTTACTGTGTTATTTGGTATGTTTATGACCGCATGTATGGTTGGTGCGTTAGGTTACACTTCATTAATGCCAGGAAGATGGGATATTGGTAGTTTTTTAACAAGTTATTTAATGATTTTATTAGATATTGTCGTTTATATTGGTTATAAATTGATCAAAAGAACTAAAATGATCAATTCTGCTGAAGCTGATTTATTTACTGGATTAGATGAAGTTGAACAACATGAAATGGAATATTTAGAACAAAGACAAAATACAAAAGCTTATTTAAATCCAAATATTTGGCAAAAAATTTCAAATTGGCTTTTTTAAACGGTTGACAATACCTCTCTACTATAGCTACTTCAAGAATATTTATATTTATAGATCATCTATATACACACACATGTATACACAAATGTTCAATGTTTTTTCTCTCTTGCTTTAGTAGTCACAATTTTTAAAATATCAATCCCTTTAAACCAAATATTTCCCAAATAATCAAAATATTTTTGATCTTCTTCACTAAACTCAATAACTTCCCCTATTTGATCATCTAATTTATCATATGCACACAAAGTATAAGCTTCACAATAAGGTTTATTTTCCCATGAAAAAGTTGGTTTATCTCTATTTTTCATTTTCCAATTATTTGCTTTTAATGGGACTGGCGGTATTATTGCTTGTCTAATTTTCAAAGGTGATGAATTATATTTATCCATTTCTTGAGATGTCATACCTTTGAAAAATGGATTTGTCATATCAATATGCATTAATTTTTTACAATATTTAAATCCAGTATTCATCCATAATAATTTCCCATTTTTATAGATATGTGAAGGGTGATTTGAACAAAGTTCTTTAGTATTTGTTAATTTGGGATAATGTGATTGTGAGCCAGTGGAAATTTCACCAATTGAAGCTGCAAAATTGGAATTAAATTCATATGATTCATCACCAGATATTGCCATAGCTAGCCAATATAATTCTTTATCACCCCATACTCGATCTCCTATAATATTTGGATATAAAGCTAAATGAATTGCCATAAGAGGATTAACAAAATGTTGTTTCCTATTAACAATAACAAGTCCACTTTCCATCAAATGTTTGAATCCATGTTTAAAGAAATGATTATCCCATGTATATGATGTTAGTTTTGGTATACCCAATTTGTTGATTTCTGGTAATGAAGGTGTTAATTTTGTAAAAAGATCAATTGTATCAATTTGATCATGTGCATTATTTAAAGCTCTATCTTTAAAGAAAAAAGCACCTTTGGTTTTATATTCTTCCAATTTGAAAAAGTCTTGTAATGGTACAAAAGGTATTGTATCTGCATCAATCAATATAACTTCTTCAAAAGTGTTGAATAAATATGCTAATAACTTATTTGTAAACTTTTGAATTTTGGAATTGAAACTTTGATTAATAACTCTAGAAATATCAATGAATTCTATATTCATTTGAGGGAAAACTTCAACTTTAAATCCAATAAGATCTTTGATCTCTTGAGTTAATTCAGCTTTAGCAATTTCATGTAATTTAATTTGTGCAAATTTTGAAAAATCACCCCTGTGAATAATTTGTAATGGGATTGAAGTTCCCAAAGCTCTTAATAAAGTTATTAAATTGATTAAGTCTCTAAGATGAAACTCTTTAGCTGTTAATGCAATACCTTTTTTCCTCAAGTTACTTTTAATCTTGTTGAAACATAAATCATCTTTGAAAATTTTACGATCTCCTTTAACTCTATGATTAATGATTGGTGATTTAAATGAATACCATGGGAAAATTCTCCTTTCCAGTTCAATATCACACTTATTTTGATCAAGATAACAATGATTATAAGCTCTTATCAAAGCAGTATGATTCTGAAACTTATGGAATAAAGGTTCTTGATTCCATATTGTATCTTTCTTAGGGTCAAATCCGGTATCATTATAATCATTTGTGATATTATAATGATTCCTAATTTCTTTCCAGAACTGGTTACAATTATTCTTTGATGGTTTTGATGAATCTAATTTCTCGAGGATCTTTACAATATTCAATTCTTTGACATTGTTGATGCTTGATGTTTCCACATTTATGTTCTTAAAATGAAGTGCATTGTAACACACCAGTATGAATAAAATCAGCACCAATAACGGTGTTTTGAGCTTGAATCCAATGACTTTCAAAACCATCTCAACGAATTGATCATAAGCAGCAACATATTCAGAAATAAATCAACCATGGATCTTTTCCAAAGTTCAAACCAATTCAAATTTCGAGTTCAATGGAAAATCCTTGTCAATCTTTTTGTCTTGCACAAGCCTTGAAAGTTGAGACGCGTTACACCTTCGGATATAATGGAGTAATAGATGCATTATCTCAGATTCAATCAATTACAAAATCTCAGATCTAATAAACGTCTACAAATAAAAATCTAAATATTACTCTATATTAATACCCATTGATTTTATAAAAACAAATACACCAAATAAATGCCATAAAAAATCACACTTCTTTAGGCTTATCTTCACGTAAACCTTTTAACCAAAGATCACCAAAGAAATCGAAAACACGACTTTGTTCTTCACCAAAATTAACAACAAGACCTTTTTCTTCTGGTTTTGACATGGATCCGATACTATCATAAGCACACCATGTATATGACATACAATATCTATGTTCATCATTCCATCCTTTATCTGCATTACTTTGATCATTTGAACCGTCAATTTCTTGAGCAGGTGGAACAACACCAGCTCTAATAACAGTGATTCCTTTATATTTTTTTTCTAATTGTTCTGCGTTAAATTGTTTATATAATGGTTTACCATGATCAAATTGTGCAGCTCTTGTGTTTTTACAATATGAAAAACCTGAATTCATCCAAAGTAAAGTTTGATTATCATAACCATTAATATGACCTGGATGATTACTGCATAATTCATTTGCACTAGTTTTACCAAATAATTTATTTTCTTGTGGAGTTAATTCACCAACTGATGCAGCACCAAGTGCATTAAATTCATAATTTTCATTACCTGCAATTGATTGACCTAACCAAAATAATTCTTTATCACCATGAATTTTCTTAGCAGTTATTGACCAAAAATTTAATTGAATTGCTGATAACATACCACTAAAATGTGAAGTTCTCTTTATAGCAACAACACCACTTTCCATAAAATGATTTCTTAATCCACCAATAAATCTATTCTTTAATGTAAAATCAGTAACTTGAGGAATATTGAAAAAATAAGTATCTAATTTTGATGGGAATAATCTTTTAAAATAATTGACTTGATTTTCAGTATTTGACCCACGTAATTGACGATCTTGGAAGAAAAAGGCACCTTTATTAACAAAACCAGGTAATTCAAAAATTGATCTTAAATCAACAAATGGAACAGTATCAGTATCAATTAAAAGCATATCTTCAAATGAATTGAAAAAATATGCAATCAATTTATTTGCATATTTATGGAAATAATTACCATATTCATCTTTGATAGAATTTTGAACATTAACAAACCAAAGATCTTGAGGAGGGAATCTAGGAGTTTGATTAGAATCTAATTTATCAGATGAAAGTGGTAATTGATCATGATTTATAGGTTTTCTGAAAACATCAATCAATTGATTTTGATTAGCTTCTGATAAATCACCTTTATGAACAACTTGGATTGGTAAATCATTATTCAAAGCTCTTAAAATTAATGCTAATCTTTTCAATTCGTCAACTTGACCATCAGAAGCAGAAATAACAATTCCTCTTCCATTAATAGATTCTTTCCAATTCTTCATGAAACAACTACGTCTTGCTCTTTTGAAAAGTTTAGCACCTGAACCTGAGTCTGAGCCTGAGCCTGAACCTGAACTTAAGTCAGTTCTTGAATCACCATATTGAGCATTTGTTGATGATGATAAATCTGGAGGACCAAGAACAACTTCACCATCCCATCTTTTAAAAGTTGGTTGAACAAATGTTAACCAAGGGAAAATTCTTGCTTCAGTATCATGACAAAGTTCATGTTTTGAATTTGCTTCAGATTCAACTTTTTCATCATCTTGTAAAAATGATGAAATATAATTTTTTGAACTACTTTGGAAACCTTCATTACTTTCCACAAAGCATTTACTGAAAATTCTTAATGTTGAAACAGCATCAACTATACTTTTATCAACTTTAACACTATCAAAAGATTTTTGATTAAATTCTTTTTCTAATTCAATTAAAGTTTTTTCATTAAATTCCATATTTGGTTCAGCTTTTTTTTTAAAATTTAAAAAATCTTGAAAATTTATATAATTATCATCATAACCTTTAGTATCATAATTATTAAACATCCAATTTGAATTTTGTTTATGTAATTGTTCAAAATATAAATTACATTTTTTTTCAAAATTAAAATTTTTCAATTCTTTTGGACTATATTGATCAATTAATTTATCATATGTTGATGAATAAACTTCATTTTTCAATAAAAATAATTCACTACCATTCTTACTTGAACTATTATATGAATATAAACATTGTAAAACAATAATTAAAACCAATGCAAATATGAAAACATTCAAATTTATGAATCTTTTATTAAATTGTACTCTACCACCAAGAACATGCTTCAAAGATTGTAAATACCTTAAACCTTGATTAACAGCATTCATATTCAATCTTTCCCCAAAGCAGCCTATGATACTATCTTATAATAATCACCAAATTTGATGAACTTTATGAACTTGAATAAAATAAGCAAAGAAGAAAAAAAATTATGACCGTGTCCACCGTGATATGAACTTGAAATTAGCTTAACCGAATAAAAATCTAAACCTGATTCGAACTATAAACAACCAGGTTCCCAACAAATACCAACAGCTATAAAAACGAGCGTGATTTAAAGATATCAAACAATCAAACTAGATAACCTTTTCAAAATGTAAACAAACTTGATTTTATCTCTGAAAATTGAAAATTGACTGGCTTGATAGTAAAGAATCCTTTCAAAAATTTACGTGTTTGGAACGAAAATCATCAAAAAAAAATCCGCGACTATTCGCGATAAAGAAATGCTTAGTCAGAGTAATAACCTACAACTTTTGAAATCATCCATCATCAAAGATTTATTATACATACTAATACACTGTCCTATCATTCATTAATTTGATCATCTTATGTTACATCTCTAGGTCATCTCTTATCTAGAATAAGGATTTCCTTGAGAATATGGATTTGAATTAGCTGCAGATGCAGCAGCTGCTGTTGAAGTACCACCATATGGATTTATAGGTTTACGTTGTGGTTGCTGTTGCTGTTGTGGTGGTGGGTATTGTCCATATGGTTGTTGAGCTTGAGGTTGTTGTTGTTGTGGAGGTCTTGGACCTTGTGGAGGATAACCACCTTGTTGTGGGATTGATTGTGATGAACCATAACCATATTGAGCTCTCGGTATACCTTGAGGTTGTTGAGGTCTTGGTCCTTGTGGTGGATAACCTTGTTGTTGATGTTGAGGAGGAGGACCACCTCTATAACCACCTTGTGGAGGATAGCCTTGTTGAGGATAACTTTGTTGAGGAGGTGGTGCACCGTATTGTTGTTGAGGAGGTGGACCATTATAACCTTGAGGTGGATAACCTTGTTGTTGTGGTGGAGGTCTTTGTTGGTATTGTTGTGGTGGATTTCCTTGTTTTGGTGGTGGAGGTCTTTGTTGATATTGTTGTTGAGGTGGATAAGAATGTTGTTGAGGTGGAACTTGTTGCTGTGGTTGTTGTTGTTGTTGTTGTTGAGGTGGAGGAGGTCTATGTTGAACAGGTTGTTGTTTTTGTTGAAATTGTGGTTGTTGAGGAGCTGGTGTTGATTGTTGATGTTGAGGTGGAGCTGGTTGATTTAATGGAGTAAATCTTTGAGCTGGAGATTTTGATAAACCAGATGTTGCAACATTTGGTTGTCTTGGTGGTTGATTAAAACTTTCATTTGATCTTTGTATAGAGTTAGTAACTGGTGAACTTGGTGTACTTGTATTTATACGACCACTTGTATATGGTGAAGCTTGATCAATTTTAATATTTGGAACTGGTAATGGTTTACTTGGAGTTTGAACTTTGATAGTTGGTTCATTTTGTCCAAAATTTTCAACTGAACGATTAACTTGTGAAGCTCCATGATAATCTGGATTGAAAATATCATCATTTGTTGATTTTTTATTATCATTAATTGATAATGCTGAAATACCTCTATTGAAATCTTCTTCAAAATCATCATCATCATCTAAATATGTATTTAAACGTTCATTTGAATCTTGTTTAAATTTAGCATATGGATCATGTGGAGCTTGTAATCCATTTGGAATTGAACCTGATGTTTGAGTTGGATATGGTGCAGTATTTGATGATTGTGATACACCTCCTCTAGTACCATTTGAACCTAAAGAATTAGAACTTGCATTTGAATTTTTAATTCTATAAGGATCATCTAATCTTGTATTTGAACCATAAGCTTGTTGTTGTTGTTGTGATGATGGTAAATTTGATCTTTGTTGTTGACCATATGGTAAATTTGAATTTTGTAATTGTTGTAATTTTGCTTGTGGAGGAATTTGTTGTCTTGAATCTTGAGAAATTTGATCTTGATTATATCTACCCATTTGAGCAACATTTGAATAATCTTCATAAATTTGTGTAATTTCAGAATTTCTATTAGCTTTAGGTGGAGATCCAGGAACACTTAATTCACCACCAGATGAATTAATTGAACTTGCTTTTGAATGATGAGAATCTCTTTTAAATTTTGGTTGAGGTAAGAAACTTGGTGATAATGGAGATGTTGGTCTATTAATTCCTGGTTTAACATCTAAAAATTCATTTTGATTTAATCCTGGTGAATTTATAGCACCTTGAACACCATGTTGAGAACCACAACCTGTATAACCACTTGATAATTTTCTTGCCATAATTTCTTTAATTCTAAATCTCCATTCAGTTAATAACCAATTTGAAGATTGTGGAGAACTTGCTAATGCTAAGATATCATCAACTTCTAAATAATGAACATGAGGTAAAACTGGTAAACCAAATAATAATGAATTTAAATCATTTTTATTTGCATTTAATCTTTTTGGTCTACCATAAAGAGCAAATGTATCCATTAATGGAACCAAAAATCTAATTAAAGTATCATAACCTGGAACTGCACTATGTTGTTCAGGCATAAAATAAACAGAAGCTTCTTTTGGTAATGATTTTTTATTACCATCGAAAAATACAGTACCTTCTAATTTAATCATTGTACTATGATCAACTAATTTATGAGATTGTGGATAAAGTGCATAAGTTGCACTTGAATCTTTAATAATTGCCATTGCAGTTTTTTTTTGCTTTTTTTCATCTTTATAAAAAGAAACAGAACCTTTATAAATTTTATCCTTTTTAGATTTTTTATTTGGTTGTTCAATAACTGCAAAACATCTTTTCCACGGCATACCAGAACCAAATCTAACACTAACCCAATCTTCATAATCAAATTTAGATTCTGATAAAATTGTTCTAATATCTGAAAGTTTTGAACCTCTTGCTGATAAAAGAGCACCGGTATAAGCTTCTTGTAATGAAGTATATTCAAAAGTTGCTAATCTAAAAGCAGCATTCCAACGATGAAAATCTTTTGGTTCTTGATATTGTAATAAATATTGATTTTTCAAAGTTGTTGAAACAATAATAATATTTTTTAAACCTTGAGAATTTTCTAATCTATCAACAGCTCTAAATGAAGAATCTGTAAAATTAATATAATCAGGTTTAGCACTAGCATTCATTAAAGCTTCAGTATTATTTTGATGTTTTTCTAATTGATCAACATCCCAGACAGCTAATTGAGTACCTAATAACACACCATAAACTTCTCTCCATTGACGATTAGGAACTGGTTCACCATCAGAGTTGATACTTTGTAAAAGCATAAAGATACCTTCATTATAACGACGATGAGCTTGAGCGCTTAATAAGGTAACAATTGGTAATAATTCAGGACTGATTTCATCTGTTGGAATAGCACTTGGTTGTGGAAGTTGTTGTTGTTGTTGCTGAGAAGAGTTGGATCTAGACCTATTCTTTGGCGACCCGTTATTGGAACGACCTGGTGAAAAGATTCTTTTCATATTTGTTATTTGTTTATTGTTATCAAACTAAAATTGAATCCCTAAAGACAAAATGGACAAAGCGGCAAAGAAATGAAGAGGAAAAAGCAGCGGAAACAGGAAACAAAAGACAGGGAACAAAGCGTTGGAGGGAACTTAGAAGATTTTAAAGGAGCGTATGGAATATATTCCTGTGTAAAGAACTGGTTGTGGTTGAATTGTAGTTTTATTGACTGTGGTGTTTTTCGGTTTTGTTGATATTATTTTTATTTTTCCTTCTTATGTTTTTATTTATAAAATTCCCAAAAGAAAAATTTGAAAAAAATCTTGGAAGTTGCAAAATTTAGGCAGAGCATTGATAGGGGAACAGACAGATGATTAGGCAGAAGACAGGGTACAGGGAAGGAAGACTGGGCAGATGGCCATTGGCAATCATAGAAGAAATCTGTCGAGCATGTCAATCTTTTGGCTGTGTTGACAAAGCCTCCCAGCAAACGAGAAGTCTGCCTAAGAAATAATAATACGTTAAGTACGGTAAATTAAGTAGAATCAATAGTAAATAAATACATTTGTACCTAATAAAAAACCAAATACATTAATGATTATACGTGCCAAATTGTATCTCAGATTTGAACGAAAACGATTTTGCAACTCTTAAAACGGCATTTGAAAGAAGTGATTTTAGCACTAGAAACCTTATCGACCGGGATTAAATATGCATAGAAATCAAGGACGTCGCAAAAATGTCATAGAATCAACAGTAGATACTTAAAATTTTAGATCATACTTCTTACAGATCTAAATTCGGATCATCATATAGTTTATATAAATAAATCAAAACATCTCATAAAACTATAATAACTATACTTATACAACATTGACGACAAAATCATCATATATCAAAATATATCAATCTCTTTCAATTTACCTTCATTTCTCAACTTCCAATAATCACCATTATATTTCCAATATTCTTCTTTTGTAACAGGATGAATCTCTTTAATAAAATATGAAGGTTTATAATCAATACCTTGTTCTTCACGCTGTTTTCTTGCCATTCTTTGTTTAACTTCAACTTCATTTTTAAAATTACTTGCATCATCATAAAGTCCATTTTCCATGGCTCTTTGATCTGGTCTTAATCTTGTATCACCACGACTTAAAAATGGTACTAAATCTGGATGACCTTCATTTAATGTAATGGCATAACTTGTTAAATTAAATGGAACTTTAGGTCTTGGTGTAGTTTGCCATATTAAGAATTTTTGTCCATCTTCAATTGGTACATTACCAATTTTTTTAGAATTATTATCTGATGTAGCAATACTTGTATTATTTTTAATAACTTTTTTAGCAAAAATTTTATTATTCCAATGACCACCAATTGACCAAGATTTTTCACCTTTAGAATTATAAATAACACCACTCATTTCATATGCTGATGCACCTCTCCAACCTCTTGGTTTAAAATTTAATATAGCTTTATCACCAGTCTTACTATTTGTTATAATCATTTCACCATAATTATCAATTGATGGGTTACCAACAACTATACCAACAACTGAAGTTGATAATTTTTTCCATGAATAAATTTCTTCATCATTCCCCATACAATCTGGTCTTAAATGTAAATACCAATTACCTAAAGGTTGAACATCAAATGAACGACCATTAAAAGCAGATTTAACTGATGTTTCACCATAATAATCCCATTTAATAGCTTCAGCTAATGCAGCAGAAACTGGTGGATGATGACTAACTTGTTCAGTAATAAATCTAAAACCTAAATCTGGTCTTGAATATTCATAAGTTTCACCTAATAATGGGTTAAAAGGTTTTGCAACACGATCCGTGGTAGATCCATATTCTGATGCTGCAAATGCTGAAACATATAATAATCTTAATGTTGAATCTTCAAATGATGCAGCTTGATTTAATAAATCTGAATATTCTAAATCTTCTGCAACTCTTTGTAATAATGATGTTGGTTCATTGAAAAAAACTGGTAATGAAATCTTAGTCATATCTTTACCAATCATTGATTTTAAAATACCCCATAATCCAACTTTTGGTCTATTATCAACTTTCAGACTTAATTCTTTTCTTGGTTCAAATTCATAACCTTTATAAGATCCTTCACTACTTAATACTAAATTCTTTTGTTTTTGTAATTCATTACTTAATTGAGAATCATCAACACCTGTACTTGAAACTTCACCAACTTGTTGTTCTTGTTTGAGTTGTTCTTGTTCTAAATCACTTGGTTGTGGTGTTGTAGCAACAGTGGAATCTGTTTGTTGTGTTGAACCAACAACACCTTGTTCATCATCATCATCATCATCATCAAAATCTGCAGCATCGAAAAATTCATCATCTGAATCTTCCTCTTCATTTAAAAATCTTGAAATTTCTGCATCATTTTGATCATAAGATGCACCACCAGCAATTGGATCAATAGGTTGATGATCAATCTTTGTAGCTGGGTCTACATTTTCATCATTTGGAACAAAAGAGCCAGCATCTGTTGTTGTAGTACCTTGTTCTTGTGGTTTTCCAGGTGCACCAATAGCAGCTCCAACTTTTGCAGCAACACCGGCAACAGCACCTGTAACTCCAAATCCTAATGGTGATGGGCCATGACCAGTTTTATTTGGACTTGAAATACCAGCACTGGTTATAGTTGTACCTGATTTAATTCCTTGTGTATCAAATGGTGATTGAGTAACTTCTGTAGTTGGAGTTGAAAATGAACCTGAAGCTGAACTGAATTTTCTTGTAAGTGCTTTTTTCAAATTACGACGTTCACTTTCAAAAGTTTGTAATTCATTATTTTTTGCTAATAATTCATTTTCTAAATCTCTTATTGAATTAATCCATAATTCATTAATATCTTTTTGTTTTTGTAAATCATGAATTAATCTTTCATCTCTTTTCAAAACTAAATGATTTAATTTTTCAAATGAATTATTTAATGCTTCAACTGTACCTAATGAAATATTTAAAGGTTCAGAATCATGATCTAATGAACCTTTAACACCAATTAACAACTCTTTTAATGAACTTAATTCAAGACTAAAACCTCTTTTCAAAACAGAAATTTCTTGAATATAAGGACCTGAATCAACATCAATATCTTCATTTTCTTCAGGTAATCCAATTTCTCTAGATTCTTGATCAAATTCATCATCATCATTATCTTCATCACTATTATAAACAATTTCTGAAGGACGACGATTTAAACCAACATTTCTATTTTCAGAGGTATCATTATTATTGATTTGATTTAAAGATTCATTTTCCTTAATTTCAGTTAAATTACTACTAACTTGAGTTGGAACTCTACTCGTAGGAACCCCATCATTATTTGAACTAACATTAGAATTATGACGAGAATTTTCAATATCAAAACTTTGTTTTCTTTCAGTTTCAGATGATAAACGTGCTCTTTCTTTATCTTTAGCAAATCTTATTGAACCTTGTAAACTCCAAACCCAACGATTAGTTTCAATTGGATGATTACCTTTTAAATGCCATCTAACACCACTTTTACTTATAATTTCAAATTTTTGCTTTTCTGAAGAATCTAAATGTAATAATGCACTCTTCATATTTAATGAACCTCTACATGCATTCATTGTATCTTCTTGGCTCTTATAATAAGATAATATCCCATTTGAATCAAGAATAAACCAACGTAATTTATATCCAGATGCAAAATTTGTCCATTTTCTTAAATAACCTTTGAAAGTTGGTGCCTTCATAGTACCTGAAATAGATCTACCAGAAGTTGAACTAATAACATTTTGATCTTGTGAAGCATCTTTAATGATTTTTTTCATAGTTTCATTAGTTTTACCAACTAATTCAATTGGTAATTTACCCTTTTTATCTCTTCTAAAAGGATCACCACCATGTGATAAAATCCATTTAACCATTCCAATATCATTTTTCTTAACGAATTCATGTAAAACGGTATCACCAGTTTCTGGATCACTACCATTAATATCTAATAATTCAAAATTTCTTGAAGATGATAAAATTTCATCTAATTTTGCAAAATCATGATTTGTAAAAGATTGTCTTAAATCATTCGCAACTTTTTCCACATAAAGTGCTCTTTCATTTTGTAATAAAGAAACAATTTTCAAATCTTTAGCAACTTCAATTGGTTGTTTTAAATCATTATTCAGAATAGTATCATTTATTCTTTCATCTCTTAGCAACAATTGAGCAATATCATATCTTGAATTGATAGCAGCTAAATGTAAAGGAGCATTCCCATTTTCATCTTGATAATTAACATCAATTGCCAATTCTTTAGCTTCATCTGATAATAATCTTTGAATAATTTGTAATGGAGCCACTTGAACAGCCAAATTAAAGATTAAATTCTTCACAAGGGATAACTCATAATAATTGACAGAATCTTGAACAGATAAGACAAGTTGTTTCAATTGATCAAAATTATTATTCTTTAAAGCGTCCAAAATCTTCAATTTGAACAGAGGAGGGTTGATTGCACTAGACCCAGAAGAGGATGTAGATGCTGAATTTGCCACGGGTTGTTGATTTGAATTCCTATAGTTTCATATTGTTAGTATTTTAATTCAACATTTGATATGTGCTGTTTAAACGACCCAAAGACACAAGCGCCTCCCAAGGAGTACGCTCAATTCCATGAACCCCATTAACATACGCTGTAGTTCCACTTGATCCAGCTGGGACCTGGCTCTGTGAACCGTTTGAAGACATCTTTGCCACTGAATTCAAAGCTTTTTGATGTTTAAAAAGTTGAATTCGTTGTTGAAAAGAAGCTTTAAAACGTATTTCACAAGTGCCAAAATTGCGATGAGCTAAACCTGCATAAACATCCTAATCGGGTAATATTCTGGTTTAGGAAAATGAGAATATTTAAGCATATAAGCATATTAGAATTTGATTAAAAACTAATTTAAGGTAAAATACAATAAAGTAATCATAAGCTCATTAAATTTCTATACAAAAGTATTGTAAGGAATCTTTTTTTTTTTATTTTTTTCAATTCATCTTAATGCAGTTTGAAATGAAGAATTAATATCACCTTTATCCAAAGCAGCTCTTTTAATAGGTCTTTGAGAAACATTTTCCTTTGGTGCAAGTCTTTTCCTATAATTCTTATCATCCATTCTCTTCTTTTCTGTAACATTATTTGGCAATACAATTTTAGGTAATGAGGATCTATCAAAATCATCTTGTTCAACAGTTTCTCTTGTTGTATGTTCACCATATGGTGATTCTCCATTATTGAAAATACCAGTCCCATCAATAATATGAACTTTAAAAGCTAATCTTTCCTTTTTATTATTATCATTAAACAACATTATTTCATCATTATTATAAACAAGTGCCTTTTTACCACGTCCAATTTTTGTTCCATTAATATAACATGCATTTGTACTAAAATCGATTAACCAAATATCTTCCAACCCTTGTGCAGGACTTTCATAAAGACTCATACCAACAGGATGTCTCTTCTTAGTAAAAGCACAATGGATTTTTGATAAACGATCTTGTGCTATAGTTTCATGACATACTGCATTTCTTCCTATAACATATGGACTAACACCTTGAGGTATGAAAATTTCTTTATGATTAACACTTTTCGATGTAGGAGTCAAAGTTAATGAAGTACCTGGTGGATATTTTGTAGCAGTAGAAGACGCAGTTGCTTCAGAAGTTTTCTTCTCTATTGTTTGAGGTGTTTCAGGTTTTATTATATCTTGACCTTTAACTGGTGTATTATTGACATTACCGTTCTCTATAAGTGAAGTTCTATCAAATGAATTGTCTTCTGTGAATGATTTATTTGTAATTTGTGCAGTTTTCTGTTGAGATGCTTGAGATGCTTGAGAAGGTTGGGAAGTATCATCTTTTTGTTGTTGAGGTTTTTTATTCTTATTATTATTTGGCGGTGCAGGTATTTTGAAAACAGGTTCATCGGAAATGTCTTTGTTTAATTCAAGATTTGCATCATCAACTTGTAATTTTTCAACTTCTAATCTATGTTGTTGAGATTGAGATTGTGATAAAGAAATTTGTGATAATTGTTGTGAAGAGCTTAAAATCCATGGATGTGATAATGCAGCAGATGCTGTGATTCTTTTTCTTGGATCAGTTTGTAATAACGAATCAAGAAAGCTTCGAGCTTCTTTAGAAACTCCAGCTTCTTTCAATGGTGGTTCATGATAAGTTCCTTGTTGGATTTGTTTATACAATTGATCTTGTGTACTACCACTAAATGGTAAATGTGCAGTTAAAATAACATAAACCAAGCATCCTAAAGACCACATATCAACTAATGATGAATACTTATTATCATCTGTAACTTTTGATAATCTACCATCTATAACTTCAGGTGCAACATAAGCTAAAGTACCACAAAAAGTTTTCATAAATGTACCATTATCAGAGATTTTCGCCAAACCAAAATCTGTAATCTTAACCATGACAGGATCATCTTGTGCAATCAGAATATTATCAGGTTTCAGATCTCTATGTGATATTTCTAATGAATGAACATATTTAACAGCTTGTAAAATTTGTTTTGTAATTTCTTTACCAGCTTCTTCACCAACTGCACCATGAGCAGCAACAAAATCCATAAGATCACCACCTGGAACAAATTCCATGACAAGATAATAACTATCATCATCTTCATAAAAACCTCGTAGTCTAACAATCCCTGGATGATCTAATCTTCTCAAAATTTCTAATTCTCTACTAACACCATCTGTATTCCCCATGATTTTTCTTTTGGATATGATTTTAACTGCATATGTTTTCCCCGTTGCTCTTTCCACAGCTTTTTTAACAATTGCAAAAGCACCTTGACCTATAACTTCATCCTTTATCGAAAATTCTTTATTTATACCTTCATCAATTCTTGTACTTGAATTTTGAATACTAGAAGCTTTTGGAAAGAAGACAATAAATCTAACAACATCTTTAGCAACACCAATCCCTACTGAAACTTCATCACCTTGACTCAATATATAATTTTGACCTTTGACTAATCTTGAATTATTAACATAAGTACCATTTGTTGATAAATCTTGAATCAATACATTTGAATCGCCACTCCATATCTTGAAATGTTTATTGCTTAATCTTGTTGTATTTGTATAAGTGATATCACAAGCAGCATTTCTACCGAAGTACCATTCTTTCAACCCATTTCTTTTAATTTTCAAATCAACATTATTTAATTGACCTGTAGTACAAATCAAACGACATATCGTACCATCCTCTAAACTTTCTTGAGTCAAATGATCAAAAGCAGCTTGTGTTGCCTGCGTAGGCTGGGTTGGTTGTGTCGGCACTTCCATTGATGTATGCTGACCCAGCAGATTCAATCCTGCAATTGTTGAATACTTTTAAAATCAAAACAATCAGATCAAAAATATGCTTATTCATTACAAATTCTCTTCTCTGTATTTTTCTTGAATTTTTCGTACGCGTAAATCTTTGGAAAATCGCGAATTATTTTAGAAGCGCGTTTGGTACGGGTAAATGAAATTGAGATGATCGATTTATTTAACCGAAACAATAGAAATTATAATCACTGCTACAAAAATTGATAGATAAGCTATAAATCATTAAATAAAAGTCAATTATACATCTTGAGCTTTTGCAACCTCTTCCTGTATATATTTCAAAACTTTTGGATAGTGTCTTTCCCCAACTTTAGGATGAGATTTTATTCTATTTAAGAAAACACTATAACCAACAGGTTTAGTTTCATCAACCTGGAATTGGAAACCAATCTTATTCTTGGTTCTTTTGGCATCCCTTTGCTTCACAAGTTCTTTAGCTTTTTCAGCAACTTCAATAGATGATTTTTTAGATTCAATATTGATTGTTTGGAAAAATGAAATTGATAAACGATCACCTTCACCTGGAACTGGTGTTAATACTCTATGAACTGTCGACACAGCAACACCTTGAGTTATGAATTCCAATGTCATACCGACAACAAACACTAAAGTATTATCCTTTGGTGGGACATCGATCCAATTCCCGTTGAAATCTTTAACTTGTAATGAGTTATGATGACTTGCCTGATAAATAAATGTTAAGAAATCATTATCACGATGTTCACCAACACCTTGATTCAATTTAGTTTTATATTCAGTATCTTTGAATTCTTTTTCAACATCAGCAACTTGATCTTTTAAATTATCCAAATCTGGATATTTGATAATTTTCAATTTTGCCTGTTGAATTTCTTTGAAAAATGCAGTTAATGCACCATATTCAACTCCGAGAGCTTCTTCAACCCAATGTGTGAAAGTTCTTGCAAGTTGTGATAATTCATCAATATAATCAGAGACTATTGGTTGAAAATTTGGTAAATGTTTTTCTGATGGCCATAAATTTGGTCCTTCAATATTCTTGTATAGTTCATCATCATTATTAATCACAGGTTCAGGTAGTTCAGTAGCAAATTCAACTTGTTCTCTCCAGTCAACATTAGCAGCTGTTATTTCATCACCAAGACCATTATATCCTAAGAAATGTTTTGAATTAACCATAGCAACTTTTTTCTTTTCTTCTAATGGTATATCAAAGAACTTTAATGATTCATTTTTAACATCTTTGAATTTTTGAACATCAAATGGTGGGTTACTCAAATAGAAAAACCCATAATTAAACAAGTTATCTCTTAATTCATCCAAAAATTCACCTTTGGTACTTGGATTCAAAGCTTTACTCAAATCAAGAGTTGGTAAACTATTTGGAGATTCCCCAGATGACACTTTCAACTCGGAGAATTTCTCTGTTATATCAGGATTAGTCATTTTTTGTTGTCAATTGATTCTTCAGGTTGAAAATTGGCCTTGGCTTTAAAGTTAGAGATGTGTACCTATATTTATATTTGGACATATGAAGCTGATTAAGAGTGAAATCATTCGATTATATTATGTAAATGTTTAAATAAACTGTGGCTCTTTATTACTTTTTACTTTTTACTTACAAATCGCGACTTTCCGTGACTCTGAGAAATTCGGCTCGGCAGAAGTTCAAACAATTATAAATAGTAGATGGAAAATTGATTGCAAATTGGTGATCGTCGAAATCACATCTTTACGACTCATGGGAGTTTGATTACATCAGTTTGAAGCTTTAGTTCAACAGCTAAAGTTCTCTCACAAGACATTTTGTTATTTTATTAATATAACTCTCTTGAATCACCTCATTGCACAATTCAATTTTTTCTCTGAATATTTATAATGCTCTCATTCACTGAAACTATCTCCATGTAATTTTCTTACTTAAATCCCCATTTTCTGGGGATCTAAACAAAGGATGAGGATATTAATACGATAGCTGCTCACAGAGTTAATAATACTGGCTGAAACAAATCAAATACTTCAGTATAATACTTAACAATCATGAGTGATATTTATTGTACAATTCACGAGCTTACAACTCCAGTTAGGAAGACACAAATCAAAACACAAACCTCAGCTCCAAACCAAAAAGGAAACTAATGATCAAATACAAAGATTTATTAGTAGATCTAATTTGCACCACTATACTCGACCATTTTCGAAAAGTGCTTCAGAGTTCAGCTTTATGAAATTAACACATGTATTATTGTTGTTGATCCTAGGTTTCAGATATCATGAATCTGTTCTTGATTTATATTTCACATACCCAATTCAATATATGATCCACTGATGCAAAAATATACTGCAGAACATATGGCAATTTGCTGATACCACATATATTAATTGGTTATAAGTTATAAGTCGTCAGCTAATTGGTCATTGGTCATTTTGAGCAAGCTAATTTGCTAGCTCTAGCACAAACATAGGAGCTATAGCAGTAATTAAATTACCCAGTTTTATATAGATTTTATAGCATAAGTGATGACTATTAATATATTGCTTTCTTTTGTTTCGTATTACAATTTACCATCGATCCATCATGCATCATTTGTCTTTATGATCGATAAGTACACGACTTTTGACCATTCTGGCTTGTTGTCACGTATTCTGTACCATGATTTTCTGTTGGTGCATTTTTATAATATGGGTCTAATTCTCTCTTAAACTGGCTCAAAGCTTGATATTTTCTGTTTAGCAACTGACATGTTTTGTAAACTATAATGAAGCATATAAGAATGATGATGTTTTCTTCCCTTTCTTTAATTTTTTATAATCGTACTTCCATAGACTATATATAATTTTCTTCGTTGCATATATATCCACATATCAAGACGCTAATTAGTATATATAATTTCGACACGTTTGATCGTATAATAGATTGAAAGCAAATTAAAGATATATATAAACCACATTGAAATTTGTTGATTAAGCTTTCAATTACATAATGTCAGATCAAATATTGAAACCAACAAAAATTGCCAGGGTTATGGACATTTTACTTAAAGTTGTATCTGTTGAAAAGGTTGCACATGTATTGAGTCGCCTAACTGGATCCAAGAAATTCAATTTTAGAGAACCAGATAAAAAGGGAGTTACTGATCTCGTGGAATTTTACTACAGATGGACTATACAGTGGCAGTTTGAAAGACTTGTTACATGGAAGATCAAAAAGCTTGGAGTTTTAATCAACTTTCATCTTATAAAAAGAGTATCTGATATAAGTACTAAAATCATTGATAAACTTCAAGTTTCCAGTTTTCCAAACTTATTTACTTTTTTAAGAAGCTTTAAAATTAGCAGATATGGAACTTCAATAACCCCTGTTACAGGATTTAAATCATGCTTTCCAATTGAAATATGGTCCTTGATAGTTGATTTTGGAGCTGACCCTGGTAACCTCTTAAGAGTTAACAAAGAATTATTCGGAACATTTGCTCCAAGACTATACAGATCTATTCATATAGACATTGTTCTAAGTTCATTGGATCCTTTGAAGCTGTACTATGGTCATTATGTGAAGCATGGTGGTACTTATCCTTATCAGACTTCTGATTTTTACAAACTTTATGAAAGGTATCAGAACTCAGGAAGTTTTGACTATGAATTCTTGGATACAGTTCATAGAAATTCCAAGAACAACACGACAAAATCATTCATCATAAACGATAAAGGTGTCAAAGTCTATATTGAAACTAGAATAATAAAAAAATTCTGCAAAGTTTTATTATTTTATGAAAATGTTCTTATTAATGAATCATCAATTATGAAGAAATTCATTAAAGAGCTCTCGGGCAATATTTTGGTGCTTAATGGAATGAAATGTTTGCTTGAATCTCTAGAAGTAAATCAAACAATTCAAAGTATGTCACAAGATAAAAATTTGAAAGTGATAAGGTGTAAAACTGAGCCTTTAGATACATTTGAGCACTGTTTATGTTATGAAACTTATATTGAAAGAGATAAAAGCTTTATCTGGGAAGAGTCTTGGTATTTAGAAAAGTATGAGCGTTGCGCGCAGCCATTCGCTTCCTCACTTTTTCCAGATAGTGTCTTTTTTAAGGAACTATTGATTTTAGGTGTCATATTTGATCAATTCAAAAGCTTTGAAAACAGAAGAATGTTTTCTTTGATTCAGGTTTCGAGAGAATTACAAATATTGGACCCATTCAAATACTGGAATTCAACTTTAGATAGACCTATTTACAAAAAGAAAGGTCCCGCTCGTCTAAAAGGGCCAGGGACAATAAAAATAGAAAACAGAACGTTCTTCACAAAAGCCACTACAATTGGATTTTTGTCAGGATTAATGAAAGCTTTTTCTTCTAAGATTAATGACTCTAAAATTGATAGTAACTCAAGCTTATTCATCACTGGTTTGGTACTCAATCCTGACGTGAATCAAGATGCAAGAGAAGTTGGAGCAAAGGTTACTTTTGATACGTATTCTATTATCATCAACAAGGCGAAATGAGTCTGTGTATAAATTCCCTGCCTCATGGTTTCAATGCTTTTAATAAAATATACGAGCTAACACACACATACGTTGTATATGCAAACAATATCAGACGTAATTGCTAAAACTACAACGGCATCTTGTATACATATAGACCCGTTTTTAATTGGTGGTTACGTTGTTTGTTAAATTTTGTATGTCTCTTCTATTTGAAGATTAAATCTTCAGCGGCTATAATAATGAACTAATCTCTACAGATGAACTGAAGGATACTGATTAAGTATATGAATGTCGTATCTCTTTCTTATGCATTGACCGTGAATTAGTTCTGCATTAAACATCAACCGCTGTATTGAGCTATCACTTTCAGCTTGTAGTTACAAAGGTATCACTTTTCATTAAGAGGTAATCTGGGACGAAGCTATTTTTTTTGTGTTTTTGTTTTTGTGTATATAGCAGAATTGGTCAACTTTTCGAAAAAAACCTACAACACACAATATACAATAGCGCTTGTTTTATTCTATCCACTAGATTCAGGTCAATAAATCTAATTAACTAAATATGACAATTAGAGAAACATTGAAAAGATTTTCTTTTAGAAGATCCAGTAAACTTGAAACTGTTAATTCTGATGGCACCAACGATATTTTAGCTAGTAACAAGAAAAAAAATGGGATTGGTACTGGTAAGACTTTAAAGAAAACATTTAAACCACATTTATCTTCAAGTTCTATTGCATCAGACTCAAATATTACAAACCCTTCAATTCCACCAGCAAAAATTAAAGTCAATTCCAATACTGATACAAGGTTCCATCCATCAGATTCAAATGTTAAAAGCCCTTTAATTTCACCAGCAGGTTTATCATCAAAGAGTTATGGTTTTCAAGAACCATATAGAGTCAATTCCAATGCTGATACAAGGTTCCATCCATCAGATTCAAATGTTAAAAGCCCTTTAATTTCACCAGCAGGTTTATCATCAAAGAGTTATGGTTTTAAAGAGCCATATAGAGTCAATTCCAATGCTGATACCAGGTTCCATCCATCAGATTCAAATGTTAAAAGCCCTTTAATTTCACCAGCAGGTTTATCATCAAAGAGTTATGGTTTTGAAGAACCATATAGAGTCAATTCCAATGCTGATACCAATAAGAACTTTTTATCTAGATTCAAATTTATAAAGAAATTGTTTAACAAAAAAGAAGATACCACAATAGCAAATTCAGGTTCAACAACTGAAGACAATGAAACAATTGACACACCAACTGAGCTTTCAGCTCAATTAATAATGGAAGATTTAAAACTGATAAATGAACAATCATACGTCAATAACAACTTAGGTAATTATTCCATGGACCACTTGACACAAAATTCCAACAACAAAGATTTGACCACGAGAGCAAAAGAAGTGTCAATGTCCCAAAACCAAAAAGATGACCAAGATAATATTATAGTTAAAGATGAATATCGAATGGATTTAATAGTTTATGTCTCTTCAAAACAACCACGTGAATATAGAATAGTCAAAGAAGCCTTCTACAATGACTTTCACATTATCCAAAAGAATGTTGAACCTGGTCTTAATATAAGCAACCAAAGAAGGGATGAAATTGCGGATAATATATCTGATGTTTTGGTGAATCGTATAGAATTTGATGCCAAAACGGATCAATTGACAGTCAAAACGTGGTTATTCGATTTTATTATCGCTTACTTGAAGGATGCTACTTGCCCATCCTGATGTTGATGCAGGTGGTATTTCATTGGTGGTTGGTCTTTTTCTGTAGTTGCTGATAATATCCCAATGAATATGTTATGTTATAAAATTTTACCCCTTGTAATCTTGTAGAATCAATTGAAATCCCGCGAATTTTGATATAGTACACAACTTAATTACACTATAACTTAATAATCAAAATCCTCATTAGAAAAGCATTCATGTGTTCCCATCAACAACTATTCACAAAAATCTACAAAGAATATTTCTCATGTAAGAATATAGATTAAATCTGGAGCTATAAATATGAGATAATTGGACAATTGGGTTGAACTTGTTCTTCATGTCTGATAATACAGGAAGTTTCATGAAATATCACATTTGGAACTTAATTCTCGTTTGATTGGTCAAATTGCTAATGTAGTCTAGCCAAATGTATCACTGTTATCTCAAAGTAATCAATTGTGCCAGGAATTTAAATAAATGAACCAATCTAAATTGGAAAAGTCCCAAACCCCATAAGCTTTTCATTCACAATTCAAATCGTCGTGTAACTTTATATTGGTTCATCTTGATATGATGGTCTATACCTTCCCATTAACATACAACCTTTTAAATCTCCCTACTTCGGATGCTTCTTCTTTCAACAATATATCAAATATCTTAACATCACCATCAACAGATCCCAAGATAACAGTTGAACCGTTTTTATCAAATGAAAATTTATTCAATAATTTACCAAAACTTATTTTTAAAATTGGAATAACTGAATCAACACTTAAATCTAACAATTCAAAAACATTTCCATGTATAAAAGCTAATTGTGTAGAATGACCATTTCTCCAACTTGCTTGTGGAATTGCATTATTTCTGTAAATGGTCAATAATGGAGATTCTGGTTGATTAACATCCCATAACGATACTGTCCAGTCAAAAGAACTCGATATAAATAAATTTGTGAATTCATCTGAATGATTTAATGAGGTAATGGGACCTTTGTGCTTATGATAAATCTTATCATAACGATTATCAGGGTTTCCAATAACTTCATTATCAAATCTCTTGACTCTATAGATATTACCATCTTCACAACCGACAATTAGAAAACCATGATCATTGGGCAAATTTATAACAGAAGTTGGTGAAAGTTCATCAAATCTCAATGATAATGATTTGGGTGATTTCAAGTCAATTGGAGGTGAAATTGGTTTTGATAACATGGATGTTGTCCAAGTACATATTCTACCATCAGTTGATGCCGATATCAAAGTACCATTGTTTTCATTTGTTTGATTTAATGAGAGCACAGGATATGAATGATTCATTGGATTTGTCGATGATACAAGGTATGGTAGTTTTGAGTCTGATTCCAAATTCCAGCTGAACAATTTACCATTATAACCTGTTCCGAAAATAATGTTTGATTTAAAATGTGAAAATTGGATATTAACTATAGCTGTTGAAGTGTTAAAGTTGTATTCAAATTTTTTGAAATTTGTGTTGTATACCCATACTGATTTCCCACATGATATCAATATTAACTCTGGGAAGAAATTGGATGTATCAATTGCAAAAATACCCTGGTCAAATTTTAAAGACGCTAATTCCTGATAATATGCAGCTTCAGTCTGTGTTTCTTGGTTTGTATCTTTGTATGTCTTGAGAATATCTTTCTCTTCGTCAATGACCCTGTTAATTATTTTGAATGATTTATTGAAGAAGCTTGTCAACAGTGATTCGTCAACATTTACAACGGTGTCAATTTGATCATCTTGTGTCAAATTTTCAGACGGTATATCTTCAGAAGTTTCCGTTACTGTGCCTTCAATAGCTTTCTCATCCAATTCTTTTGGTTCATTTTCGGCTTCATTGTCACTAGGTTCAATCAATTGATGCGTTTGGACACTCTTATTGTATGTGATCTTTTCAGGTTTCTTCACTTCTTGGATCTCATTCGTCTGGATAGAAATTGACTTATAAACAGCAGTTTTCTTTATTGAGCCAGAATTAGCGTCTCCATTAGCCTCTATCGACCCTGAGCTTGATGGAGCTGAGGATGGTACTCTATCACCAACCAACTTGCCAACCAAACTATTGATATCTTCTTCTTTAGCGCCTTCATTAACAGTGGTGGATTGACTTTGGCTCTGCTCCTTCTGTTTCTCCTCACGCTGCCTCCTGAGCTCCTGGAGCCTCTGTCTCTTTGCCTCTAGCTCCTCTCTTCTACTAGACATCCTGTCTATGACCTTTGACTCTCCAATTGGACCTTGATCTTTGGTTATCAAATCTTCAACTTTACTTGTTGATGTTTTTTCGTTATTGTTTTCAAAATGATCAAAGCCTGGTAACAACACGACTTTTTTCATATGTTAAGTTTTATAAGACGCGAAACTGGTTCTACCTTCATGGCGTTGGACTTTTGACGTGATCATGAAGAAAGTTATTACTATATACAAGCTGGAAAAGGAAAGATAACAGAACTCCAATTCAAACACTAAAACCTATATTTTTATTACTTATTAAATAATCTTATAAAAACTCAATTGAAAACTTAAATAAAAACCACTATAAAAAGAGAACCCCAATCAAACAATATCTTCATTTGATCTAAATTTAGATTCAACTGGGGTCTTAACTTCAGTTGACTTCTTTGATGATTTCTTACCAAATGAAAATTTAGCATCATGTTGTAACCAGTATAAAAACATCATTGAAGCAACATTAAAAAGAATATAAACCCAAAACAACCCAAAATTTCTCCAATATTGAGTATATTTAATACCTCTAGTTGCAACATAAGCATCTTGGGAATCAAATTGACAGTAACCACATTCATCTGTAGCATTTGGATCAACCAAATAACCGCCTCTCGTTGACATGAAATCTGAAACATATTCACCACATGTTTGACCTTGTGGTGGTGAGAAATAAGCCAATTCATTCTTAGAACATTTAAGTTCTTTACCATGAACTATTGTTGCAGTTAAACTTTGAATAGCATATGTAATTGGAGAAACCTTATACATAAATGTCCAAAATCCTGGCATAATGGATACTGGTTGTAAAACACCTGCAAATGAAAACATGAAAACTGTGACAACTGAACTTAATGCAGCAGCTGCTTGAACATCTGGTGAAAAATAATAGAGATCAACTGCAAAAGTCGGAACATAAATTTGGTATATGATACTTGACATCAAATAAAACTCACCAGCTAATCTTGAGTTTTGATAAACTCTTAATGGCCAATAGGAGCAGAAGAAATAAATTGTAGCACCAATAATGTTATATGGAATCTCAACTAAAATCTGCGAAATCATCAAAACACTCCAATGAAATGTATTACTCATTCTTTCTCTAGTTCATAAACAATTCTAGATCTCTCACATCTTTCTTGAATCTGATTTATTATTGGGTTTGAAAGAACAACAGCTAAGAAGGCAACAAATAATGAATTTTGAGAACCAATCACTGAATTTGGTAAGTCCCAGAATGTAAATCCGATAAATAAACCACCAATTGTGAATAATGCCCATTTAGCCATAATGTACATTGGATCACGATAAAATTGTAAGTTGGTTCTGAAAAGAACATATTTCAATTGTGAAAACCATGAAGTTGCATAAGTTGAACGTAAGTATTTGTCATCGTTTTCAAGGATAGGTTTATTTTTGGTCCTTTCAATACCTTCTCTTTGAATGACATCAATTTCATTAGCAGTCTTAACAAATTCTGGTGATTTCTCCCACTTTTCATACCAATCTTCATTCACAATAGCGGTCGCACCAGCACCAATAGATTCTAAAATGTATTCAGCTGGATTTTCATCCTCTCCACATGTTCTTGCACCATTATGTTCGACATAGCTTAGCAAGGTTTTTGACCTCTCACCAATATCTCCAAAATAAACAGTTTGACCACCTTTTTTCAATAATAACAAACGATCAAATTGTTCAAACAAAGTAGCTGAAGGTTGATGAATGGTACACAAAATAGCCTGACCAGCCTCGGCTAAGTGTCTTAAGACTTGAACAACAGCCCATGATGATTGAGAATCTAAACCTGAAGAAGGTTCATCCAAGAATAACAATAATGATGGTTTGGCAACTAGCTCAACACCAATTGATAATTTCTTGCGTTTAACCCATTACCAATTTGACCAACAATAGCATCAGCATATATCTCCATATCCAAAATCTTGATGATTTTTTCAACATATTCTAATTTTTCGCAATCTGGAATATTGGATGGTCTTCTTAATCTAGCAGCAAAGATCAATGATTCTCTAACAGTCAATTCATCAAGGTGTAAATCTTGTTGTTGAACATAACCAGTTCTCTTTTTGAAAGTACCATCGATTGGTGCACCATTAACCAACATATCCCCAGTCACAATACCAGTGTCGACTCTTTGAGATAAGACATTTAACAAAGTAGTTTTCCCAGCACCTGATTCACCCATTAACGCAACTAATTGACCAGGTTTGATATAACCTTGAACGTTATCCAACAATTTTCTTTCAGAGCCATCCTTTAAGCTGATAGTATAATCCAAGTTCTTCCAACTGAAGGTATCTGAGGATCCTAAATTTTCATCCTGGAAGTAGTTCTTCTTAGACGATTTGGCGCGAACTAATGTGTCCTCTGAAGATTTACCATTATTTGCTTCTAAATCATCAGTTGAAGCTTCACTTTGTGG